TTCCACGTTTATACAAGTCGGTGTTTATTTAGTTCCACGTTTTTTACAAGGGAGTGTTTAGTTAGTGCACTGTTTATACAAGTGAGGGTTTAGTTAGCTCCACGTTTTTTTTACAAGGGAGTGTTTAGTTAGTTCACTGTTTATACAAGTGAGTGTTTAGTTAGTGTCACATATCACTCCTGTCGCGTGCCTAATGTAAGGATTTCTCCTTCAGAACCAACAGCACTCAGAAATAATTATGTTGAGTCGTTTGGCTCGTATTGGTCTAAGGGATTCCCTGTGGCCAATATACGCTCAACTTATCTCTGGAGTAGGGCAGCTCAAGTATTGGCGCTACAAAATATATCAGTATGTGAATACAATATTCCTAGGCACACTTGGCTGGACATCCCCACTACTTACTAAAGAAAGCCCCCAGGTTATGATAAGTCATTATCATAACCATGTTAACACATATAATGAAGATACATACACACACAACTGCTAAACACTTAAAAAGGTGAAATAGAGACACCTAAGTCAGCCATGAAAATGAATGCATGTAATCAAGATGAAATATATATATATATAATAGTGAAACAGATGCCAGATCTCCTAGGATAGATCTCCGGGTATCATGTCCAGATCACAAAGATACTACACAGACAGCAGGTCTTGGAGATGACACCATGTCATCATTGAGAAACAGGAGCTGTGAGGAATAAAGCACATAAGGCATCAAACTTAGCTTCTCCTCTTTCCGTCGATGATGCTTCCCTCAGCTCCTGATGATTCGAATGTCTTTGACTCTGGTAATTATGCTCAACTGGATCAGGTAGTGAACGAGTACCTCACCATAGAGGACACAGCAACTGTACCGGTACTCAGCAAGTCTCTCACACCCAGTAGGTCACAACAGTGTCTCTGAGCTACACCAAGCTCTTGCTCTGGTAGGCTGTTTGGGTTATCTGCCCCCACATAGTGATAATGTCAGAAACCTTCACAGGTGTTAGCTGGTGGGTAGTTGGTTGATAGTTGGTTTATGGTTGGTGGGTGTTGGTTGGACTGTGAAACTTCTGCCAGCTCCTCACAAAGGATTCATCCTGCCAAGAAATAACTCAGAATTAGTCATCACCAAGAGGGTAACATCTTGACAGGAAAGACAGAACAAGCATCAGTCATCATCCCCCATCTGCCTACTCCACCTTGCTCTCCTGTTACATTCCTCAAAATGCCTCTCCAGATCAGGAGACACAAGTCTCCTATCATTCATCTGTCTGTTTAGTGCAAGAGAAGGAAAGTCAGATATACAGTGGAGATAGATAGAGTGTTCTAACACATATATCACTCTCTCTCCCCCCCTCCCCTCTACACACAGACACCAATATTTACTGTCAGTACCTTTATTCCTTACGACTCCCCAAAGCCAGTACTACCATTCATTGATCTGGGTCAACACACTCACACACTGGCCGACAAAGTCCTGACCTAATTCTGTCCCCATTTTGTATGCACAAACTTCTGTTGTTAGTTTAAATAGTACACACTTGTAAGGTTATTAGGTTTACCAGTATGGGTGGGTTATTTAGGGCATAGGCTTTTTAGTCTGTACAGGGGAAGGTCTACGTTCGAATCCGCTTCTCTAGCGATCAAGAACGGTCGAACTATGTGTGATCCCACAGCCGATACTGATCTCTATACAGCAGTGACTACTTTAACAGACATCATTTTAGGTACTCGTAAACTATAATTAACTTACCCAAGCATATGAAAAGTCCGAGACATTCCAGATCGCCTATTTCAAATGAAGTATACAGGCATCGATTGACACGTCTGGACGCTAGGAAGCCGGCAAGAGAGAATGCCGCCAATACGCACTTCAGGCGTTGGTAAAAAAGGAGTTCCTAGTATACATGGGCAAGGAGTAAATCGGTTTCTAAGAAACCTCAAATAACTCCTCTAATATATATCCAATATATATACATTTAAAAGTGGAGTTTAGTCAAAGTAACTAGAAAATGTAGACATAAAAATGTTGTCCAATAAAGGCATATATGTATAGATATAAGGGACTATATCTTTCCGGACGAGTCCAAGTTTGAATTTTGTGCCGATTACAGGTAGGTCAAGTTACCAGTCTTACGGACTGATGCGTAATGGCTTATCATTCCACGACAGTTAGTTCCACGTTTACACAAGTGGGTGTTTAGTTAATTCCACGTTTTTTACAAGGGAGTGTTTAGTTAGTTCACTGTTTATACAAGTGAGTGTTTAGTTAGTTCCACATTTATGCAAGTGAGTGTTAATTTATTTCCAAGTTTATACAGCCGAGTGTTTAGTTGTTTCCACTTTTATACAAGTAATTGTTTAGTTAGCTCCACGTTGATACAAGTAAGTGTTTAGTTAGTTCCCTATTTTTGCAAGTAAGTGTTTATTTAGTTCAACGTTTATACAAGTTAGGGTTTAACTAATTCCTTACATTACAAACCAGGATTTAGCCAGTTTTACGTTTATACACGTGAGTGTTTAGTTAGTTCCATGTTCATAATGTAAGTGCCTAGTTAGTTTCACGTTTATGCAAGTGCATGTTTAGCTAAATCCTTGCTTATACAAATGATTGTTTAGTCAGTTCCACGTTTATACAAGCAAGTGTCCAGGTAGATTCAAGTTTATGTGAAATTAAGCTAGTTCACTGCTTCTACAAGTCAGTGTTTAGTTCGTTTTATCTTTATTTAATATGAGAGTTTACCTAGTTCTACATTTGTACAAGTTAGTGCTTCGTTGGTTACACGTTTATACACTTGAGTGTTTAGCTGGTTCCATGTTTATACAAATGAGTGTTTAGCTAATTCCAGTTATGCAAGTGAGTGTAGTTAGTTCCATTCTTATACAAGTATGTTCTTGGCTAATTTCACAGTTAAACAAGTGAGTGTTTAGTTAATTCTCTGCCTAAACAAGTGGATGTTTAGTTAGTTCCTTGCTAAAGAGTTGACTGTTTTAGTCTGACACAATATGTAATGAGTGTTATATTAACTGAATTACCGTTTAACTAAGCATAACAGACGTATTTTACTAAAATAGTGCCGCGCTGGGGTACACCACAACAGCAACCATCCATAGGCTGGCCATTCATGTACATCCTTGGTTAACCCTCAGTGTCGTCGTCACCACGCTGGGGTACACCACAACAGCAACTATCCATAGGTTGGCCATTCATGTACATCCTTGGTTAACCCTCAGTGTCGTCGTCACCACGCTGGGGTACACCACAACAGCAACTATCCATAGGCTGGCCATTCATGTACATCCTTGGTTAACCCTCAGTGTCGTCGTCACCACGCTGGGGTACACCACAACAGCAACTATCCATAGGCTGGCCATTCATGTCCTTGGTAAACCCTCAGTGTCGTCGTCACCGCGCTGTGGTACACCACAACAGCAACCATCCATCGATCGGATGGCTAAGCCTAAATTTCCGACAAAACTAGATCATACGGATCAAAATCTGACCTCAAAATTTGAATTGAACTGAAAAAGACCGAATATCCACACCCAAAGACACCACTCGCCCGAGTGTTGGGACAAAACTGATAACGATATGCCTGATGCAGGATGTAAAATCTGTCGGGCTAACAGCTCGTCAAAGAAATCTAACGTGCGAAGAAAAAAAAAAAGAATGTACCTATCTGTGTGGTTACAAAAGTCCAAAACCCGAGGGCTGCTTCCCGCTGACCCCCAGAGGGCGCAGCCCCTGTCGAACGGGAGGCTTGATACGGTTGTGAGGTTAAGCAGGCTTGTGCAGGACGTGACGATTCCTTGGGTGAGCCCAGAAACAGAGCGCCATGTGTCGGCTCTGCATACATGGATGCCTCCTTGGATGGCGGGGAATGCCCAAGATCTGCCCCTGCCTTCCCTTGAGGGCTAACTGTTCCACAGGGGGCCGACCCAAAGGGGTACTCCGGGGGCAATACCTGCGGCAAAGGAGACGAAGTGGACACCACACAAATCAGGCAACGTCTCGACCCACACAAAACAATGGCCACAGTCACCCTAGAAATAGGCCTGACGTCTTCCTTCGAAGTCGGCGTACAGCTGCCCATGAGGCAGGGAAATAAAAAACGGTTGTACACGCAAAAATCAGGTCCAGGTGAAAGCCAAAAGTCCAAGCGGACGATTACCTGACCTTCCACTGGAATTCACAGCCGGTGTTCGATGAAAAAAAAAAAAAATAGTGAGCAGCTTATACGGTGGTAGTATAACTTTATTTAATCACATGATTTTTCCTAAATTTCCGGTCCCAAAATCAAGGTGCGCCTTATACAGTGGTCATATAACTTTGTGTAATCATATTATTTTTTTTCTAAATTTCTGATCATAAAATCAAGGTGCGCCTTATACAATGGTCAGTTAACTTTATGTAGTCATATTATTTTTCCTAAATTTCTATTCCCAAAATCAAGGTGCGTCTTATACATGGGATCCTCTTATACTTAGGGAAATGTGATAATATGTAACGTGTATCTAGTTAGTCTGTCACAATACAATATGGCACACTATAATATCTTCTCCTTATTTTTCGCGTTCACTGGCTGTAAACTCGGATGGAAAGTTCTGGTTGTTTGTCCATCTCTAGACTTTTGTCTTTTTCTAGAACTATTTAATGATTGTGTATTTACTCTGCATCTGACAGCCTTTTTGTATATCTCCAATTTCTTGAGCTAAACATTGCATGTTTTTTTATATCTGTATACAGAGCCAGTCAGGCCACGGGTTTTGAGAGTCTTGACTGCAGAGAGAGAACTGAATGTAACGATGACGATAGAGGAGGAGATTGGCGTTTTCGACTCTCTCCGAGTTGCCATTCAAGGACGGGAAGATAGTCAATTGTAAGTCAGATATTGTACTGGGAAGAAAAAGATGTTAAATTAAACCGGACGTTGGGGGGTGAACTGTGTGGTGTGTTGAAGGTAAAGGCACAAATAACGCCATTTTTCATTTTAAGAAGAGTCACAGGGAAACAAATGATTACAATTAACAATGGCGGTTCCGCTTATAATGCTATAGTGCGTTTCAAATGTCTAGCCGTTGCACTAACAAATAACTCAGAGCTCATGTATAGTTCAACACGAAATTTGCATCCGGCCTTATGTGTCCCATGTCCTTATGATTTCATTATTTACGGGTGTACGGATACTGTTGTTTTCTTAAAGCGACGAATTTATTTGATCTTTGTTGAACTAATAATTTCTGATAACAGTCAAGTGGCCATTTTTAAGGCTCGGTCAATGACAAAGAGCATTTCAAAACTCAAGCCGTGACACTTTAAAAAATATCTCGAACACTCTTGTACGGATCAAATGAAAATTTGCACGTGACCTTAGATTTTTCATGTCTTTATTATTCTGTAATTTACTATTGCACAGATGATGCTGTTTTCTTAAAGTGGCTAATTTCTCTGTTTGACTAATAGCTTCTGTACCCTGAAAAAATACAACATACAGTAACCGATACACGTTTGGAGATTGTTTGCATAAATTCACAGTTCACATGAATTCACAGTTCACATGAATTCACAGTTCACATGAATTCACAGTTCACATGCATGGTGATTATTTTGATAGCCTATTTCTCACTCAATGAAAAATTTGCAACTCACTTATGCTGGAGATGACCACCTGAAAGGGAACCGTCAATGCAACGCGTGAAATCTAATGTTACAAAAAATTTCCCCTTGCTCAATTTACTCAAGTAACTGTAAGCAAGCTGATTGCTTTGTATCGGTATCTGCTCTTTCATATACCTCAAATAAGGCAAAATGCAAATTATATATTTGTTTACATTTTTAAAAATGATATATTAACGTACTGCATGCCAGATTGCAACAACTAACAATGAACCGTTACTGAGTTGCAGATGTTTAAAGTTCGGCAAAACTTCTGGAACGCACTATGGAGCTCTAAAATTCAGGGGGAAAATAACACCAACATTGTTAGGGGGAGGAATGGAGTGGGTGGGTGGGGGATGTTGACAAGCAATCAGACTAACGAACTTTTTTTTCAAGGGTTAAGACAACACTGGAGAAGTTTATTTGTTTGTTTTCTTATCAGATCAGATGCATCGGGGCTAGCGACTTTTAAGAATCTTGACCCAGGCACCACCTACACACTTGTTGCTGTTACCATCAGTGGAAATGAAAGCAGTGACTACATCTATCGATCTGTCAATACAAGTAGGTCATTTTCAAAGCGTTTACAGCTATAGATATGTCAATACAAGTAGGTCATTTACATAGCGTTTGCATCTACAGATCTGTCAATACAAGTAGGTCATTTACATAGCGTTTACATCTGTAGATCTGTCAGTACAAGTAGGTCATTTACACAGCATTTACATCTAATTCCCAATACAAGTAGGTCACTTACGGAGTACATTCATCTACAGATCTGTCAATACAAGTAGGTAACTTGTATATATACACACATCTATAGATCTGTCAATACAAGTAGGTCGCTTACATAGTATATAGATCTTTAGATCTGTCAATACAAGTAGGTCACTTACATAGTGTTTACATCTACAAATCTGTCAATACAAGTAGGTTGCTTACATAGTATATAGATCTTTGGATCTGTCAATACAAGTAGGTCACTTACATAGTGTTTACATCTACAAATCTGTCAATACAAGTAGGTCACTTTCGTAGAACATACATCTACAGATCTGTCAATACAAGTAGGTCACTTACATAGTATATACATCTACAGATCTGTCAATACAAGTAGGTCACTTACATTGTATATATATCTACAGATCTGTCAATACAAGTAGGTCACTTACATTGTATATATATCTACAGATCTGTCAATACAAGTAGGTCACTTTCGTAAAACATACATCTACAGATCTGTCAATACAAGTAGGTCACTTGCATAGTATATACATCTACAGATATGTCAATACAAGTAGGTCACTTACATAGTATATACATCTACAGATCTGTCAATACAAGTAGGTCATTTACATAGCGTTTACATCTACAAATCTGTCAATACAAGTAGGTCACTTACGTAGTACGTTACAAATCTGTCAATACAAGTAGGTCATTTACACAGCATTTACATCTAATTGCCAATACAAGTAGGTCACTTACGTAGTACATACATCTATAAATCTGTCAATACAAGTAGGTCACTTATGTAGAACATACATCTACAGATCTGTCAATACAAGTAGGTCACTTACATAGCGTTTACATCTACAAATCTGTCAATACAAGTAGGTCATTTACGTAGTACATACATCTACAGATCAGTCAATATAAGTAGGTCACTTACGTAGTACATACATCTACAAATCTGTCAATACAAGTAGGTCACTTGCGTAGTACATACATCTATAGATCTGTCAATAAAAGTAGGTCACTTACATAGTACATACATCTATAGATCTTTCAATACAAGTAGGTCACTTACATAATACATACATCTACAGATCTGTAAATACAAGTAGGTCACTTAAAAAGTACATACATTAACTGATCTATCAATACAATTAGGTCACTTACTTTGTACATACATCTACAGATATGTCAATAGAAGCAGGTAACTTACATAGTACCTACATCTATAATGGCATCCGTCAGTCCCGGGGGACTATGGAGATGTGCCGCTGGCTTTGGGAACAGCATCTGCTGTGACTGTAAAGTCCGATGCGGGAATGGCTGTCTTTGCCACACAGGATACACACAAAAGCAGATACTCCCTCGTTGTGAGGCAGTTTTACTCTCCGGTGCCTCCTCTCCACAGCTTGTTGTGTTCGGTTTCTTTCAAAATGTGACAGTCCGTCTTTCACTTTCTGTCTCCATAGTAGTCGATCTGCAGCTGATTTTTCCCATGTCTCTGTGCCTATGTTGGTATCTATTAGGTCACGTTTGCATACATCTTTATAGCGCAGCTTTGGCCTTCCTGTAGGTCTATTCCCAGTTACCAATTCACCATATAGGAGATCTTTTGGAATACGACCATCCTCCATGCGGGAGACATGTCCCAGCCAGCGCAGACGTCTTTGCTTCAGTATACAATACATTGATGGTATTTTTGCTCTTGTGAGCACACATTCGTTGGGGACAAGGTCTCGCCATAATATACCAAGGATGCGTCTCAGACAGCGCATATGGAAGGTATTCAGTCTTTTTTCCTGTGGAGCATAGAGAGTCCAGGATTCGCAGCCGTACAGTAATGTGCTCAGGACACAAGACGCATAAGACTCACCTACATCTATACATATGTAAAGGGGTGGGGGCAGGTTTGGTAAATCACTTATATAGTGAATACCTCTACAGTTTTCTGTCAACAGTTATATATAAAAACACTGTCCATGTAACTATGCCCACAGGGGACATCAAATCACTAATTAAAACAATCAATATCAGAGGAGTGGTCATCAAACTGGGACCACAGCCTGAAGGGGTACACATTTATATACGTTATTTGGTGCTAATGAAATAACAGAAAAACTTAAAATACCATGCAATCGAAAATTGCTTAAACTACAATTTGGATAGGATTGCCTTACAATACAGGACAAAATATGTGATCTGTGCCTGAAGTACAATAATTTAGAGCCATATTCCCTAGAGTGTTAAATAAAACTTATATCCAAAGAAAACCATTAACTGACTATACGAATGTCTGCAAATAACCTAAGATGATGGAAAACGTGCAGCACATAGACAGGCCCAGAGACGTGTCAGGCAAAGTCAAGCAGTTTATTACTACAGTGGAACCTCGCTTAACGAGCATTATTCGTTCCAGAATCATACTCGTTAAGCGAAACACTCGTTATGCGAAGCAATTTTTCTTATATAAATTAATGTAAAATACGATAATGTGTTCCATGTCGAAAAAAATACTCACAGAATGCTATGTAAAAGTTATACTATAACATTTATTCAAAGAAAATTATATACATATTTAAGGAGAGTGAATCATCTTCATCTTTTCTTCAAACGCTGAACGAACCCACATGGAATGCGATTTCAAATTGGAGGAAAAAAAGTCGAAATAATTATGATACATAGCTAATTATTTTTTTTACTAGAAAGATGTCTAGAGACATTTGTTTTTTGTCGAAGCTTCAAAATTTGGCGAAAATGCGACACAGCATTATCATTAAATTTTCCATCGCGCATAGTTACTTCATTGTTAGGGTGATGCTTCTCAGTGTGAGAAGCAACAGTTTGCCATGCTTTCAGCATTTTTCTTATTTCGCCAGAAGATTGTTGCTTTTCTGTTACCTTCTCCTCCTCCTCCTCTGACAAACTTTCCTCCAAAACTTCTTCCTGTGAAACACAATGCAACTCCATAAGCTCTTCGATGGTCAGCTCTTGGCTAAGCTCTTCGATATCACGGTTATCCACCTACAATCCCATGATAGTGGCAAAAGACACAATCTCGTTGACTACAGGTTCCACAGGTACTGTCTCGAACCCCTCAAAGTCACAAATCGACAACACTCTCCAGCCAAAGCTTCCTCCAAGAAGAAGTTAGGGTTCTCTTGGTAACCCCTCCCCCCGCCTTGTCGGTCATCTTGAGGCAGGCAACGATGTGGAAGTGATTTTTCCAAAACTCTTAGAGAGTGAGGTTGGTCCCTTCAGTCACCTGAAAACAATGCTCCAAGAGTGCTTTAGTGTAGAGCTTCTTAAAGTTAGACATAACTTGCTGGTCCATGGGCTGGAGTAACGGAGTGGTATTGGGAGGCAGAAACTGGATCTTGATGAACTTTAATTCTTCAGGAAGGTCATCTTGTAGGCCTGGAGGATTCATGTACATATATCACAACAAAACACAAGCTTGAGAGAATGTGTGATCACAGGCGACACTACGATGCTACTGGAACAAGTGCTAAACACAGACTAATGTAACATGCGCACAATCCGGGACTTCCCCTCTCCCCGTCACTCGTTATGCGAAAAGTCGCTCGTTAAGCAAGTCATTTTTTTACAATTTGTTTTTGCTCGTTATGCGAATTACTCGTTATGAGAGGTGGTCGTTAAGCGAGGTTCTACTGTATAACTAAAATACGTATATAGAAGGGTAAAGAATGCCCACACCATCCTGGAAGAAATTTCTTCCAAAGATAAAACCAGTAGGGATAATCAATTACTAATGGTTTAATAAATCCACTGTTTTTAGTAGATTATTTAATTTTTCAAAGTACAATTTCAGTTAAATCCCTTGAGTGTTGAATGAATGTTGAATTAAGAATTGGCATCACAGCACTCTGTACTCGTCATGTTATTTACTATTTGTAAGTATCTGCTAGCGACATTTTTTAGACTAGGAATAGCAGTAATACACATACAAGATGTCTCCTATAACCATGTGTGTGTTGTCCATCACAGAGCCACATCCACCCACACATCTGCGTGTGCTGTCCGACAGTGGACAGACCGTGATGCATGCAGCCTGGGACGGTCCAGCTTTTGGGAGCTACGACAATTTTACAGTTCTGATTGCTGACCTGAGTGGAGTCTCTCCCGCCCAGGTATTTGTATACTGACGTGGATGCTACGAAGAGCTTGTAATTTATTATAAGCAAACATTCAGTTTTTGTTCTGCTCTTATTTTTCTTCTTTTTTCTTTTTCTTCTTCTTCTTCTCAAAGTCAGTGCCGTGGCGTTGGTAATCATGTCTATCCACAACCTTCTGTCTCGTCAATCAGCTCTGAAACAGATGATCCTCCATGCCATGTTGTCAAGCTTTCCAGGATCTTTTCTCTCGGTCTCCTTCTGCCTCTCCTTCCCTTCAACTTCTTCTTCTTCTTCTTCTTCATATGCATCTTATTTGTTATAATCGCATGTTCATGATATCCTCGGAAAAGAAAGGTATTCTGGCCGAAACATCACATCTGACAGTAAAAGACGAGGGTTAGGTGGGAGGGGGGGGGGGGGCACACACACTCACACACGCACGCACACAAACGCACATACATAAATAAATCTTAGGAGGGGAAAAATAAATATAGGAAAACATGTTTCTCTTTTGGGTCGTATTGTAAGCATTTATCAAGGATATCACATACGTTAAATAATGTTAATACAATAACATACTTCTATGTTTTGTTTCTTACTGTGATTCTTTGGTTTTCCTATCACAGTTTTGTTGTAAAGTACGTCTTTGTGTAAGGCCTTCCTGTTTCCTGAGCGGATTTCAATAAACCAGTGGATCCTAGGCCACTGCAGCATTAAGGGAAATAAAAGAGCAGACAACTTAGCAAAAAACGGAAGTCATACAAAACAGCCAGAAACAGGATGCACTTATGAGGAAAATATAACTGAGATCAAGGCAGCCATTAGAACCAAGTGGAATACTTCCTGCCTATCCATGACACAGTCTGAAAGACCCAGTCAACATTCTCATGTGAAAGAAACAGACCATTATATTTAGACTGCCTACCGGACACAGCAAACTACGCAGGAAATTAACTATTAGGAACTCAGAACTCTGCCCGTGAGGACAAGCACCACAGAATACTGAACATGTGCTACAGACATAATCTCTGCATGCAGATCCCAGGTTTGCTGGTTCGCATCTCAATGGAAACCACATTGTTTGGAACAGTGAAAGACATGCGCCTCACCACATACCCCTGGCATGAAGGACGAGAAGAAGAAAAAGCTCAATTCTTTCAATACCAGACTGTTGTTACTTCAGCTATTTCTAAATGAGAATTCTTGTTCTTTAGAGCAACGATTTTCGAGTCTTACTCCACTAAAATAGCTCTTCTTCTTCTGTTTCTTTACGTTCACGTTGTAAACTCCGACAGAAAACTCTCTGTTAGTCTATTTCTATGGTCGTGTTCCATTACTTGCCTTTTGCGCGCACTTCTGTTTTACGTACACATTTGTTTTACAGATCTGGCATATTTGTATGTATAGTGTTGATTCCTTATTTCTCAGAAAGATGCTCTACGGCTTAAAAAAAAAAAAAATTAAGTAGTCACCTTTCACGGAAGGCTTGTTGTGGGTGGTGGGTCTATTATTTGTTCTAAATGGGGCTCGGGAACCCACACAGGGAGTTCACTTTGAGTTAAAGAAACTATTTTAGTACAAAGAATGAACGTACTCGAACACCTGGAAGAAGAATTAAACCAGCGTGTACGATTTATAGAGTAATCAATTCCAAAATAGTTGGCTGCCTGGCACTAAACCTGTTTTCACACAACAGGGTCATGGAGAAACATTGCCGGGATTTTAAGCTGCTATAAAATACGTTTTTAATGAATATATTCCTATGGAGTTTAATTTTTAAATGAAGTAATGTTCAGAAAAGTTTAATATTTTATTGACTATAGTCCTAAGTCAGAAAACATTTCGATGTGCCTATGAAGCGTTCAGAAAAGTTTATATTGGAGCTCCTAGCGAGTCTTTATGATTGTATTTAATATTTTATATGTGCCCCATCTTCTGACTCAAGTGCTGTAGCGAACTTTCTCTTTATAGTACTGGATGTGCCTTATCTTCTCAACGCTTTTTTAAACCTCACGATTATACAAGCCCACACGAAACTAAAGAGTTCTGACCGTTCAAAACACAACATTATATATCCCTATATAAATGTATTTTCATCAAATACGTCTTTTTAAAAAAATACACTTTAAAATCCTAGCAATCATTTTCGACGACTCTGTATTAATTAAGGACTACTAGAGATGCTAAAATAAACGCAACTGACCAGTAGTATCTTGTCTAACAGACTCTGCTGACCAAGGAGATAAAGATGGATATCACGGGACTCCAGCCTGGTTCTACGTACAACATCAGTGTCACTTGTCAGAAAGGGGACCAGAACAGCGCTGCTGTCTGGGGACTCAGCACTACAAGTACGTTTGGTTGTAATTCTCGTATCTGAGGTGGTAGAATCATTAGATAATTCAACTGTCGAGATATGGATTTAGGTTCAATGTTCCCCAAAAGGCCTCCACATTATATTTGCTTACTTAGTCAATCCTCTTTTACTTTGGGTGTAGAGGTTTGCAAGAGGGATCACCAGATTTCTCTGTTTGCAGTTTGTGTTTATTACATTCGAGTTCTCTGTCAGTCAGGGACTGTCGGATGTTGTCTTCGCAGTGAACCCTGGGTTGTCCTGGAGGTCTAGTTCCCTGGCTCTTAGCCTCCCATGCCTGACATAGTGGTCGATTCTCTCCCATCCTGTAAACGTGTCCAGACCATCGTCACTGTGACTGATCCACTCGAGTTTGTAAGACCTGTGTGTAATGGTGCTAAATATAGGAATAGAAAAAGGGGTCTGACTGGTTACTAGAATAAGGGAAGTCCTCAGGTTGCAAGGCACACGGTTAGCGTGGGAAAGGAAAAACACGAGATGCAGTGAGTTTGCTTGGGCAACACGAATAACTGGTCATTCTGTGACTGGTCCCCAAACGGAAAGGAGGGAAACTGGATTCAGAGTGATAGGTATGAAAGTGGATCTGGGTGGAACTCGAATGAACGTTAGTCCTGAAGGGCAAGGAGTGAAACTGTGTTGAATTAAGTTGAGAATAACAGTTGTGTTCTATGAGCCGTTGCTTGTGTCAGTCGTGTACATGCCAGTGCCCATCGTCTGAAGCGTGGCTGTAGACTTAACAGTGTGAGCAAGGGGACCTGCTAGAGTGGCGGAAGTGTTCGGCTTTAATAATGTTGATTCTTGGTGCTCGTGTTGCATTGATAATAAACCCGTGAATTGCTGTCAAACTTCGTCGACTATCATTCGAAGACGTGTGATAGTTGATCAGAAGAGAAGTTTGACTTGTTTGCACAGTGAAACCCCCCCCCCCCCCCCCCCCCCCCCCCCCCTTTCCGACAACGAGCCTAGTGTCGAATCTGTATGTGAGAGACTGAGTACGGAAGAGATACATTACTCTGGGTTTCAAGAACATGATGTATTTCTGATTGCGAACTTTGTCTCTTCTTGTCACTTGGACCACCTTTCTCAGATGTCTCATTTCTGCTGACTAAAGGAGTACTGCTCCTTCATGACAATGTCAGACCATATAAGGCTCTGTTAACTGGCCAATTTCTCTACCACGTTATATATCCTTATAAATTCTAAACGAGGTGATGGCGGGTACAGTTTCCAGAAGGCGAGGCAGGGGTCGACCTCCATGAAGATGGATACAGGATGTTATAGATGCATTGGCTCAGAAAGCACATGAGCTGGGGAGTAACCTAGAAAAAGAGACACTTCCAGGCGTGCCGTGACAAGAGCGATGCTCTGATTTTTCAAACGTCGACCTGTGTTCATGAAAATCAGCGTTAAATATTTCCTGGAATGTTCTTGAAAGACAGCTAGAAAGAGAACTAACTGCCCACCCCATCTCATTCGTCAAATCCTCAATTGTGAGAAAGCCTCACCGTTTACAACCCAACAGGGGATCTCTGTCAGCGAAGCGGTCAAGTCATTTGCCCTGCGCTCTCAAGGTAGTGGGTTCGTTGCAATGACGCCTCGTTCCGTTCCCTGGTGTGGTTTTATGAGGATTTATATGGATCGTCGATGGAGCTAAGGAATTCATGCAATGGCCGAAGGCCAACTGACCGCTTTGGTCATTGATACAATAATGTTGTTTTCTAGCAATTTTTTCTTTACAAGATATATAACTGAAATCATGTCTGAAAGACGTTCTGCCAGAAGGGCACATTGTTACACAGCCCTGTGTGTACAGATGTACGACCAGAAGGGCACATTGTTACACCGCTCTGTGTGTCAGATGTGCGGCCAGAAGGGCACATTGTTATACAGCCCTGTGTGTACAGATGTGCGGCCAGAAGGGCACATTGTTACACAGCCCTGTGTGTACAGATGTACGACCAGAAGGGCACATTGTTACACAGCCCTGTGTGTACAGATGTACGACCAGAAGGGCACATTGTTACACCGCTCTGTGTGTCAGATGTGCGGCCAGAAGGGCACATTGTTATACAGCCCTGTGTGTACAGATGTGCGGCCAGAAGGGCACATTGTTATACAGCCCTGTGTGTACAGATGTGCGGCCAGAAGGGCACATTGTTACACAGCCCTGTGTGTACAGATGTGTGGCCAGAAGGGCACATTGTTACACAGCCCTGTGTGTACAGATGTACGACCAGAAGGGCACATTGTTACACAGCCCTGTGTGTTCATATGTGCGACCAGAAGATCACATTGTTACACAGCCCTGTGTGTACAGATGTACGACCAGAAGGGCACATTGTTACACAGCCCTGTGTGTACAGATGTGCTTTGCCACACGCTTTGTAAAAGATCATCTTGTAAAACCTCAGCTCTACAGATTTAATAGCTAGGCACTATCGCTAAAATCCTATTCAGATCACTGGGAGCTATGTCACACAATTCCAATCAGATCACACGATTCTATTTCATACATTTCTCATCAGATCATCAGGTTCTATAACACACAATTTCCATCAGATCTCAAGATTCTGTATCACACAGTTCCAATCAGATCACACGATTCTATATCAGACAATTCCTATCAGATCACAAGACTCTATATCACACAATTTCCATCATGTCACAAGATTTAATATCACACAATTTCCATCAGATCACAAGATTCTAAATCGCACAATTCCTATCAGATTACAAGATTCTGTATCACTCAGTTCCCATCAGATCACAAGATTCTAATTCACACAATTCCTATCAGACCACCACTTTTGTATCACACAATTTCCATCAGATCACCACTTTTATATCACACGATTCCGATCAGACCACCACTTCTGTATCACGCAATTCTTATCAGATCACAAGATTCTATATCACACAGTTCCTATCAAATCACAAGATTCTATATCACACAATTCCCATAAGATCACAAGATCCTATATCACACAATTCCCATCATATCACAAGATTCTATATCAAACAATTAGAATCAGATCACAAGATTCTATATCAGACAATTCCAATTGCCAGTTGCAAGTTCACGGCCTGAAAGCGTTTAATATATGATTGCTATCTAAAGCTTTTGAACTTTAGAATAGTTCTTATTGTCATACGATTGCTTCCTGAAGACTAGACTGTTTAAAGTAGCACCATCAATGTCCACAGCACCGCTTCCTGTGACCCATGTCCGACTGTCACACCGCGGTATGGACACAGCAACGGTTTCCTGGGATGCTCCTACAGGATCCAGTCTGTCGGGCTATGCTTTGAGTTTTGACTTCCTCAACATGACCCTGGTGGCTGTTCCTGCCAATACAACACAGTACAAACTGATGGGACTGAAGCCGGACTCTAACTACACGCTCAAGGTCTTTGTTTATAGCCAGCAGTTCGATGGGACTCCGCGTTACAGCCGGGAGACAAATCACAGCTTCTATACATGTAGGTAAAGACTATCTTGGTTGTTCTTTTTGACAAGGAGCTGGCCAAAGGTCAGATCTCTTTCATTAGACCCGGTTCTGGAACAAGACTTGGGTTTCAAGTCTAGATGTGGACGAACAACCAGCACTTTCCGCCTATGTTAACAGGCAGTGAGCGTTGAAGAAGAAAACAAATTCTTTATGTACTGTCGTTGTTGTTGTTGTTGTTGTTGTTCGTATTGTTTAGTTTTGTGGCAACCTTTGTCGACGATATTATGGCTATGGTAATCGATCTCAACTGCTAAATTCCAGCAGTCGTCAAATCCTCTCCCGTTGATGCTTTTGTTACACAAAGATCCATGTGGACTTAATTTTTGCGGATGTTTTTAAAAGAGATTGATCCGGACATAGTTGTTTAACAGGAAATGTTTTGAGAAGAAAAGGCAGCCAGCAAGATTTTAACCACATCATCACTGAGTGATAGTTGGTCTATAAATATATGGGGTTCATGACTTATTCCCTGTATACGTGGATGGTAGTCTACAGTTTCGCTGCCTAAGCTACTGAATTTAGTGCTTGGTGCAGCCCTGTGCGCTGTTTTTTTTTTACTTGAATGCCTTTCGTTTATGCAGCGGCTTTGTCGTGGTATATTCAATATGGCCGGTAACCGGTTTACGTGTGACCTGGTGAAATACCTTATGTAATAACTCTACGTGTGTATAGCCAACTTATCATGACCGACTACTTTCATCAACGACAAACTGCATTTCTGGTGAGGACTGTTGGCTCTGGCGCTTCTAGCAACTGCCATATGCATTGACTGCGTGCTTATCTTTCTGGATTGTTCCGGGACTAATTGTTTGTCCACCAGTTTTTTTCAGATGTGTCAGTGTGGGACATTTCATTTGATTTTCACTGGCACAGGAATGGAGCAAGTTTGGTTGGGGAATCCCGGTTAGGGAGAAGTTGAAACCTCCACTAAGACGAAGACATGAAGGCATATATCTTCAACTTGACTCCTCGCACTGCTCTTCTGACTTCACAGCTTCTGCGACATGCTTTATTACAAATGCGATGGTGTTACATGTCCTTCGATATTAACAAAGCAGGTCGGAGATGGATCATGCTGCATAAGAAACAAATGATCGTCACAATACTGCTCAGGTTTGTAGTTTATTCCTGGTCCTAATTGGTAGCGTCATACCTGCGATTCCCTTGCCACTCTACAGCCCAGTTTCTACTTCTTTCTATAAGTGCCGATTAACACATTTTCTGTTACTTTATCAATATATAATATTGTCTGGAAAGACATGTTCGCCTGCTGAGCGGAAGGATGTGGGTTCCATTCCGAACTGAGCCGGCCTTTTAAAAAAATGACCTTGGCTTTTGGGTTCACCTAGCATGAAATAAGTACTGGGTAAAGTTATGGGAAGTAAAGGTGGCCGGTTTGGGGTTGACCACGTCATCCACCGAGTACTGATTGGTATATATAAAATGTAGGTCTAGCCCTATATGCTCAATACGCCTGAACGTCTCCAAAAGGGTACATTACTTTTTTTAAAAACATTTTATAAACGTGTATCTGAAAAGATGAAAAGAGTGCCAAAAACAATTAGACTTCACTCAGTTTGATCGTGTTTCATAATTTAGATAATTGCACTTACGGCCCAGGTAATTTTAAACCTATTGCGGATTCATATCTTTTCCAATACCAGATCCAGAATCTGTTGCTGGTCTTCAGAAAGTGATGGCCACCAGTGATATGATGGTGGTCAACTGGACAGTTCCAGTCAGTGTCCGAGCAGACTTTTTTCACATCGGTATCCGGTCATCAGATGCAGCTTCTCCACCTCTAGAATTAGCACTCACGGTTCCAGGGTAAGCACCACCTTTGATTTTAAGTTCAATTTTAGCTATCGGAATTTTTGTAGGCGGAGACAGATGAGCAGAGTGGCAAGCATATCTTCAGAGGTCCCGGAAAGTTGTCGTGTTTTGGATATTTTCTCCAGGGTATGCAGGTGTGTCGGGAAATGAACAGATAGTTAGAATAGCTGGTTCTCTACCATTTGATAGTAAACTGATGTATGGCAAGCTAGATGTTGTAAGGGTGCTTTAGGAGCAAGTGAACAGTGTCAAGGGGAAAATAGATCATCACCTCCTGAGGAGAATGGCACTTGGAGCAGTGACCAGGAGATCTGACCAACCCTCGGCACGCTAGAGAAGCGGGAAACGGGTATACAATCATAAGATTTCTGGTAGCATCGGAATTAGAATTCTGCATTTGCTGCTTAAGAAGGGGATAGAGCAGTAATGGGAATGTTCACCGTGTTGTCATGTCGATTTTTAATCTAAGTGTGTGCTGCGATCGAATCTGTGACAACTGAGGTTATTTGGTTTGATTGTTCGCTAGTCTAAAACTCTCTTGTTCAACTGCGTACAGAGGTCTTATTTTATATACGAGTAATTTCCCTTAGCCTTAGATGGATCCAACCCACACACACACACACAAATAATCAGATGTCATCGCAAGTAAATTGGACCAGTATGAAAGTAACCCCAACTTACGTCAGTAATCCTAGTTTCAGCTTCATAGCAAACGGGTCACCCCATAGTTGCTCCGCTCCTGTGCCAACGAAAAACACACGTAGCTCACAGTGTCACACAATGCACTTACGTCAAGTTCCACCTGGTATATATACCATAGATTATGTCATTTCAGTCTTTAAAAGATTAGTTTATGTTGTTTTTAGTTAATGAATTGCTCTAATTGAGGGAGTGATATTAAACTACACTAAGACCGCACACTGAGCAATTAACACTCTGTGACCCAAAGTGCAGTGCGCCATTACTCGGATGAGAATCACCCAGTCCCAGAAACGCCGTTCAACCAAAAGGTTATACTAGGGCCCCAGACGGTTACAAAGTAACCTAAGTCTAGCCAAGATGGGGGCTGTAATATTAAAACACCGCGTGCCATATTGGGGCAACATTGAATAATGATCCAGTTATAATCTCATATTTAGTCGTAATTCAATAAAAGTCGTCCCCGTGTGGGATGCAATTTTGTTGTTATTTGATGCCCCAGCCTGACCTTTGCCAGGGGCCTTGAATATAGCCGGGACATAGATATGGCTTAGAAATAGATCTGGCCTAACGGTTGAAAGGGGTTTCTGAGACCTTTCCACGGGTGATCCTCATCCACATGGTGGCACTTTGTGTCACCCGGTGTTTTTCGCTTGTGTGATGTCCTGATGGGGTACAACTACCTACCTACCTTTAGTCATATTAATCCTATCACGAGTGTTGCAGCAGACATAATCCTGCAGAAAAGATGTACGACAAGGATGATCCAACAAACTGAGGACAAGAACGTGCAAGTATAAAATGCAACCATTTGATGCTGGACCTGCCATAGGCGAGCTGGTCACCAATTGGCTGGTCTGTAGACGACTTTGTCGTCGTTTGGGATTGTATTTGGGTCTATCTGCATTGATCGCATCAACAGTAGTAGCGCGTGCTTCGGATCTATATATTTTGGGAGTTGTGCATCTAGATGTGGATCTGACCGTGGATCTAGATGTGGATCTGACCGTGGATCTAGATGTGGATCTGACCGTGGATCTAGATGTGGATCTGACCGTGGATCTAGATGTGGATCTGACCGTGGATCTAGATGTGGATCTAACCGTGGATCTAGATGTGGATTGGCTTTGCGGATTGGCTCGCGAGTTGGACATGAAATGTAAATGTAGGCTGGGAATTTGGACGCCGTTGATGCGGAAGGGAGTTGTCGATAGGTGTCGTGACTTTTGGGGGAAAAGTCGGAAAATCAGGAGCAACGTCGGATTGGTTTGGTGTCTGATGGTTGGGGGAGCTCCTAGCCCCTGTACCGATTTGTTGTTAAAGAAACGAAACTCTTTCCAGATGTTTCTCTAGACGGCGCCCCTGTCTTGACCGACAGTCTGCAAGAGATAAATGTGTTTCAAAGGTCCGGTTATTAGCCGACACGTTTCATGGTATTTATGATAACATTGGCTTCAGATGTCACTGCGCTAAAAATGTTGTCAGTGAACTCTCGTTACATTTGTTATCATAGCTCGGTAGACAATCCTTCTCTTTATTTCTTTCTTTCCTGTCTTCTTCACACACACACTCACACACACTATTTGCGCTATTTTTTGGACTTGGAGAAAACACACACACACACACACACACACACATAAATAACTCCAACACTCTTTTCTTCCGTATATTTTCTTTCCCATCCCTCTCTCTTTCTCTCTCTCTATCTTTATTCAGCGTACTTCTTCACCGTCCTCTCTAAACATCTCTTCTGGGACAAATACCAGACGCTCGTGTTCAAGAGTGTTATGAGTAGACAACGAGATCACACACACACAGGCACACGCGCACGCACGCACGCACACACACATTCACACACACAGACACAATCACACTGTCACACAATCACACAATGACAATAACTAATAAGATCTGAACTATTTACACATTTTCTTGACTTCCAAAGTTCTTAGGTATACAAGATGTCCTTTGTCCCCGTTGACTACTACGACATTATCACACCTGTCGCATTGACGTCCCCAGAATCGACTGCCTAGAGCTTATACCTTTCGAATCACAGTCGACGCAGTTCTAGCCACTAGTGAACCCCAAAACTTGTCGCAGCTCGGTAGACAATCCTTCTTCTTTTTCTTTCTTACTTTTCTTTCTTCTTCACACACACACTATTTGCGGCTATTATTTGAACTTATAGAAAACACACACACGCACACACACAAACGTCTCCAACACCCCCCCCCCCCCCAGCAAAGCACCTACCTACCTCCCTACCTACCTACACCCGACCCATCCCCGCTAAACACTGGCAGTAAATGGGCCCATTTCTACGCCAGTAGCTCATTTGACACATGCTGCTAGGTTCATATTTGTATAGACCCGGTTGATGATGTGGTAAACATCATAGGGGCCGCCTTTACTTTCCACGTCATTACCTCTTACCCATTTGAGACTGGGTCGACCTGAAAGATAAGGTCAATTTTGAAGAAATAAACACCCCGTTTCCTCGAACTTAAGACTAAGGGGTTGGTAGGCGAGAGCGTCTTGTTAGTACACTTCATGGCTCTTAAATACAAGAAATAAGGACAGCTATAACTGCACTGAAGTGTGTAATTTAATCAGTATTTGTGATAGTTTGTTTTGTTTCACAGCTTCTGATACAAAAGTTTTCAAATGAAAGGCTCACAACTGTGATAGAAATTACCATAACCATTTCTATGTCTTGTAACCTGTCAATATTGTTACGGGGTGCCTAGTTGACCATGTTCTTAGTGCACTTGTATCAATGGCGAGGTGCACACGCCGTCTGGAGGTGATAGGTTCAATTCCCTTCACAGTAACTATAGCTTTTGATTTTTATGTTGTCTAGTGTGTTCTTCTATCTTTCTACTTCTTTCTATGAGTGCCGATCAATACACTTTCTGTTACTTGATTAATTCATACTATTGTTGAGGAAGTTTCAACGGGGCGTGGCTTCTGTGACTAACTGTTCAGACCGGTTCAGGCGTATCGAGTAGTGATTGCAGACTCAATTGCAGCTGTTTTGAAACTTCCTACTTTCCTCATGTCGACAAAACTATCTATTCGTCTATCCATCCATCTATCCACCCATCTATCCATCCATCCATCCATCTATCCATCCATCTATCCATCCATCTATCCATCCATCTATCCATCCATCTATCCATCTATCTATCCATCCATCTATCCATCCATCTATCCATCCATCTATCCATCCATCTATCCATCTATGCATCCATCCATCCATCCATCCATCCATCCATCCATCCATCCATCCATCCATCCATCTATCTATCCATCTATCTATCTATCTATCTATCTATCTATCTATCTATCTATCTATCTATCTATCTATCTATCTATCTATCTATCTATCTATCTATCTATCTATCTATCTATCTATCTATCTATCTATCTATCTATCTATCTATCTATCTATCTATCTATCTATCTATCTATCTATCTATCTATCTATCTATCTATCTATCTATCTATCTATCTATCTATCTATCTGTCTGTCTGTCTGTCTGTCTGTCTGTCTGTCTGTCTGTCTGTCTGTCTGTCTGTCTGTCTGTCTGTCTGTCTGTCTGTCTGTCTGTCTGTCTGTCTGTCTGTCTGTCTGTCTGTCTGTCTGTCTGTCTGTCTGTCTGTCTGTCTGTCTGTCTGTCTGTCTGTCTGTCTGTCTGTCTGTCTGTCTGTCTGTCTGTCTGTCTGTCTGTCTGTCTGTCTGTCTGTCTGTCTGTCTGTCTGTCTGTCTGTCTGTCTGTCTGTCTGTCTGTCTGTCTGTCTGTCTGTCTGTCTGTCTGTCTGTCTGTCTGTCTGTCTGTCTGTCTGTCTGTCTGTCTGTCTATCTATCTATCTATCTATCTATCTATCTATCTATCTATCTATCTATCTATCTATCTATCTATCTATCTATCTATCTATCTATCTATCTATCTATCAGCATGCCTGTCTGCCGGCCTGCCTGCCGGTCTGTTGGTATTTATTCGTTAGCACAGGCACCACTTTTATTCCATGAGATGGACCAATGTCATCCCCACGACCCAACCCGGGTCACACCTTATTGGCCAACCCCTCCCTCCCTCTTTAGACACTTAGTGTACGCTGTTTGTGGGCGTCTACTCCGCCCATTTCCTATTTATAGGGTACCCGTTCTTTGCTCCCCGTCCGTGCGTTGGTGATAAATTCACCTTGACATCCTTTTGAAGGAAGTTTTTCGCCAGGAACACAGATGAGTATCATTTATTGTGTACATTAGTCCCATGTAGTCACTTCATAGTTAGAGTATATTTGTGTATGTGTACTGCATTGTTCTTTATGTGCTGATGAAGGCTAATCGCCGCAACGTCCTTTGTTTGTTTATTGTGATGGATTTTGTAAAGCTAACATTAACTGTTTGTTGTTTCTTACCAACTTTTTTTCTTCCCTATAATTTTCTACTCCTTTTAAAAACTTTCCTCATGTCGGCGTCTGTGGCTTAGGCGTTGCGAATTCGCTTTGTAATGCCGAGGTGCCGGGTTCGATCCCAGCTGCGGACGAATTGTCTTGTGTTGGTTTCGACATTGGCACTGAGAGCTGACCGTTCAGTTACCAATGGCAAACTACAGAACGTAAAATTACCTAGAAAAACCACAATAGCCAAAAAATGCCGGGGTTGGTTCTGCAACGTCCTGTTAAGGATACGCAACTAACTTTTAACCCCCCTCATATACTCACTGGATTGACCGGCCTGCATCACCATATAGGTCCTTCGTTCGTCAAAGAATTTTTGAAGCTTTCATTCTTCAGTTATCGCAAAACAGATAACAGTGTGCTGCTCTTCTTTGGAGCGTGTCAAAAGTGTTGCGGCCATCTTCAAACTGCCATTACGGCGTCACTATGTTTTTCTGCACTGTGATGTCAGGTGCTTTAGTCTCCTTAAGATAAATATTGACAAGTTACAAGACGTCATTGTTTTCATCTGCATCGGGATACCCCGTTCTTACCACTCTTAGCATCTTTATAAAAAATATTGACAAGTTACAAGACGATGGCGTGATTATTGTAATTTCTGTAACAGTTTTAATGTTTTAATTTGAAGCCACTGCTACCTAAGCAGAATCTCTTTATTCTGATGTTGATATTTCAGGTCCAAGACAAATGCAACATTCAACGGTTTGAGGCCTGGTCATAAATACACGATTGCCATTCGAACAGTGAAGACTGGGTCAACCAGGCAAGCCCCACAATACGGGATCAGTGTCAAGCTAGCTGTTGTTACAAGTATGTTTTAAATTGTAATGAACAGTGTAAAATGTGGAGCAGTGTAAAAATTATAAAGCAGTGATTCCCAAACTGTGCGCCGCGGCGCCCCGGTGAACCGCTACCTCTTCACGGGGGCGCCTAGAAATATTGTAAAAGTTTTATAATTAATTTAACCAAGACATTTGTCTTGGGCCTGAAGATATTACACTGACGTCAAAGTCATACTTTTACTTAGGTTAGGGCGCCGTGGAAAAGTTTTAATTAAATAAAAGGCACCGCGACCAAAAAAAGTCTGGGAAACACTGGTTAAAATGTATGAACAATTAATTACTCTCAATGATGATTTTTCCCTAAAGAAGACTGCAAGAAATAACATGGAGTGATAGAAAATGCACGAGGCGCTCCGTGAGACAGTTGAAAGTCGTAAACTGGTTAGAAGACTTGGCTGTAGACAGTCATTATTATTTTTATTATTATTATTATTATTATTACACATTATTATCCCAAGAAACTCATTATGGAGGCCAAAAACGATCTGATTCTGAGGCCCCTAGGCCAGGCAGTCACAAATCTGAATATGGAAGACTGGCTAAAAAAAGCAGCACCTTGTCTCGGAAGTTGAAATATTTTGGTCACATCAAGAGCTATGGACGATTGGAAAAAAACAGTTGCAGAAGGCATGGTTGCAAGAAGGATTGGCAGGGGCCGACCAACACCTTCTCTAGCTAACGGCCATGGTGCTGAGCCATCAGCTTGACGTGACGTCACTAACCTGGGCTAACGATATATTCCGTTATCAATCTAACAAACCCCCTTTTTTTAAATGTATTCCCTGTCGTCCCCTGAGTACTCCCCATAAAAATAATAGGAATAAGCTCGAGAATCGAAAGTGTATATATGTATATACACTTGTACAAATTAGAAGGAGACACTAGAGAAAAAAATTTTAATAATAATTGATTAGTATGGCCCATACTGTTTTTTGGCCTAAGGCGTGAAAAAGGATCTTTACTTTTTATATTTATACTGACAGAGCCGGACTTTGTTTCAAAAATGACTTTGACTTGCAGGTCGACCCAGTCTTGATTGGGTACCAGGTGTAGTCCTGGGAAGTAAAGGGGCTTATATAATCTCTATAATCTCATCTTCTTAAAATGTATTTGTTCCTTAATGAAAAGTAATATTAATAAAATCTAAAATATTTGTAGACGAATGGGGTGGGTTTTGAGAAGGTGGGATAAAAAAAAAGGGGGCGGGTGTCTACCTAGTATTTTCGCAATATTATCCTTGTGCATTATCCTTGAAAATCGAAAAAGATTAGCCTTACGGCACTGCCCGTGCAAAAGTTTGAGTTACAAATCTACTCAAAGTATTTCAGGATCCTCGCCAGTGCAACAGAGTTCGTGCACTGCTCTGAGATTCTTCAAACTCAGACTTGAGTTAGAAGCAGAACAGAGCACTTATGGGTTACACCCTTGTTCCGTGATGTTGATCTGTTGAAAAAAAAAAAACCATAAACATAAAAAAATCAGCATATATCAGTTCATGTGTTGAGACCCCTCCAGGCCATGACAAAAGTCTGTCAATAATCTATTAGTGTTGTCTTCCTCTGTCTCCTTTTCCTCAGATCTCTCTAGTGTTCACACGATGTTCCAGTTTCCCTCTTCTCTCCCAAAAATGACGACTGTCTCCTTTTCCTCAGATCTTTCTAGTGTTCACACGATGTTCCAGTTTCCCTCTTCTCTCCCAAAAATGACGACTGTCTCCTTTTCCTCAGATCTTTCTAGTGTTCACACGATGTTCCAGTTTCCCTCTTCTCTCCCAAAAATGACGACTGTCTCCTTTTCCTCAGATCTTTCTAGTGTTCACACGATGTTCCAGTTTCCCTCTTCTCTCCCAAAAATGACGACTGTCTCCTTTTCCTCAGATCTTTCTAGTGTTCACACGATGTTCCAGTTTCCCTCTTCTCTCCCAAAAATGACGACTGTCTCCTTTTCCTTAGATCTTTCTAGTGTTCACACGATGTTCCAGTTTCCCTCTTCTCTCCCAAAAATGACGACTGTCTCCTTTTCCTCAGATCTTTCTAGTGTTCACACGATGGTCCAGTTTCCCTCTTCTCTCCCAAAAATGACGACTGTCTCCTTCTGATTTTGTGAAGACCAAGTCTTATTTTGGGAGTCGCAGTGGTGTAGCGACTAGACGCTCGCCTGCAGATCAGAAGGTCGTGGGTTCGGGTACTGGACAGAGCCGGACTTTGATTCAAAAATGACTTTGGCTTCCAGGTCGACCCAGTCTTGACTGGGTACCAGGTGTAGTCCTTGGAAGTAAAGGCGGCCGGTGTGATGTTGACAATATTAGCCACCGGGTGCCGATTGAACTGTAAAATACATGTCTAGCTCTTTATGCCCAGCACACACAAAGACATGGAAAAGGACTTATTTTGTCTTTTAATGACAGTAAATTATTGACTGGTCTGGTAGTCGGGTAGTCATAGTTTCGGCTTCATAGCAAACGAGTCACCCCATAGTTGCTCCTCTCCTGTGCCATCTAAAAACACACAGAATGTTTTTTACAGTCCCTTGTGGAAAGACAGACTGCTGTCTCAGCATATCTAGCATACACACGTATTAAAGCATGCAGTAGCCATCCGAAGTGCCAACACAAACAGTCCGACATTAGACACGCAGTTCATCATTGATGGTGGCAGAAGTCACCAACAGATCAGCAGTTGCCCACGATCAATTATTGACTGGAGTGAGAGAACTACTTATTCTTAAATGGAGTCGAAACAAAGATCTTCAGTGTGTTTTAATAATGACGTCAAAATCGTTAGTGTAATATCTTTTAATAATGACGTCAAAGTCTGTAGTGCAATATGTTTTAATAATGACGTCAAAATATTTAGTGTAATATCTTTTAATAATGACGTCAAAGTCTGTAGTGTAATATGTTTTAATAATGACGTCAAAGTCTTTAGTGTAATATCTTTTAATAATGACGTCAAAGTCTGTAGTGTAATATGTTTTAATAATGACGTCAAAGTCTTTAGTGTAATATGTTTTAATAATGACGTCGAAGTCTTTAGTGTAATATCTTTTAATAATGACGTCAAAGTCTTAAGTGTAATATCTTTTAATAATGACGTCAAAGTCTGTAGTGTAATATGTTTTAATAATGACGTCAAAGTCTTTAGTGTAATATCTTTTAATAATGACGTCAAAGTCTGTAGTGTAATATGTTTTAATAATGACGTCAAAGTCTTTAGTGTAATATCTTTTAATAATGACGTCAAAGTCTTAAGTGTAATATCTTTTAATAATGACGTCAAAGTCTGTAGTGTAATATGTTTTAATAATGACGTCAAAGTCTTTAGTGTAATATCTTTTAATAATGACGTCAAAGTCTGTAGTGTAATATGTTTTAATAATGACGTCGAAGTCTTTAGTGTAATATCTTTTAATAATGACGTCAAAGTCTGTAGTGTAATATGTTTTAATAATGACGTCGAAGTCTTAAGTGTAATATCTTTTAATAATGACATCAAAGTCTGTAGTGCAATATCTTTTAATAATGACGTCAAAGTCTGTAGTGTAATATGTTTTAATGATGACGTCAAAGTCTTTAGTGTAATATGTTTTAATAATGACGTCAAAGTCTGTAGTGTAATATGTTTTAATAATGACGTCAAAGTCTTAAGTGTAATATCTTTTAATAATGACGTCAAAGTCTACAGTGTAATATGTTCTAATAGTGACGGCAAAGTCTACAGTGTAATATGTTTTAATGGTGGTGGCAAAGTCTACAGTGTAATATGTTTTAATAGTGGCGGCAAGGTCTACAGTGTAATATGTTTTAATAGTGGCGGCAAAGTCTACAGTGTAATATGTTTTAATAGTGACGGCAAAGTCTACAGTGTAATATGTTTTAATGGTGGTGGCAAAGTCTACAGTGTAATATGTTTTAATAGTGGCGGCAAGGTCTAGTGTAATATGTTCTAATAGTGACGGCAAAGTCTACAGTGTAATATGTTTTAATAGTGGCGGCAAGGTCTAGTGCAATATGTTCTAATAGTGACGGCAAAGTCTACAGTGTAATATGTTTTAATAGTGGCGGCAAGGTCTTCTTCTTCTTCTTCTTCTTTACTTCCTCTTTTACCGCTGTCGGTGTCGAGGGAGATATAAGGTTCTGTTTCTGGCTCTTCTGGCCGCCTTGACCATAGGCACATCGTGCTGTTGTAGAGCTTCTCTGATGTTATCCTTCCATGTTGTTCTTGGTCTGCCTCTTGCTCTACGACCTTCTTCTCTTTCCATGTATGCTTTGTATGGTATGGTGTCACAAGGCATTCTCTCTAAGTGGGCAAACCATTTCACTTGCTGTCTTTGTATGTAATTTAGAATTGGTTCTGTGCCAACTTTTTCTCTTATGATCTCATTCCTGATCTTATCTCTTATGGTCACTCCTACAGCCCTTTTCAGACATCTCATTTCCATGGTTACTAATTACGGCAAAGTCTACAGTGTAATATGTTTTAATAGTGACGGCAAAGTCTACCGTATAATATGTTTTATTAGCGGCAAGAAAGTCTACAGTGCAATCTGTTTGTTTTAAATGCAATTGGTTATATTTTTATCCCCAGAGCCGCTGGCGGTAGAAAATCTAAATCTGACATCGTCGAGTACGAACAGCCTGACGGCAACCTGGGGCATCAACAGCACAAGCCTACAGACTCAGTTTCGGGTACGTACGTTTTATATACCAGTAGCTACATGTGGGTTCTCGGACCCGATTTTGAGAGGGGGTAAAAAAATTGACTCACTGCCTCCAACAAGCATGTCCTAAAAGGCGACTAATTCGGGATTCGCTGAAATCGGGTGTGCTGGACCGAAAGACGGAGATATCGCAGCCTAACTCTAAACAATAACACAATATACTAATCACCATTTTAAGACCGAATGAATATGTAGATCTTCTGCGCAGGACTCTCGAGTGTGCAAGGTAATGATCAGGCTGTTGGTTGTGGCAGCTGCCGCGCCTCTTGGCGGCATGCTATTTTATTTTACGATAAAGCAGTCGTGGTGAAGGTTGTCTTTGATCAGTTGGTCAGAGTGCAATAAAACAGAGAGAACAGAATAGAGAGTATCCATACCTAGAGAAGCAGGTAATGAGTTAAGAGTCTAGACGTTTGTCAGCGCACTGAGAAAAAAAAGAGGCCAACTTTCAATCAGGTTGTAACTGGAACCATTATTATGGGATCTGTTGTTGACGAATGTTTAATATTGCATTAAGAATCGACATCACAGCCTTCAGGATATTCCAATAAGCGCTCTTCCCCATCGTCAGCAGCAAGCGAAAAGTTACAATTTTGATGGCACCAGTAACTGATTGTATTTCGTCTTGTCTTTCCCTAATGTCGAGCGTCGGCCAGATCCCCTGGTAACTTCACGTAGCGCCATTCTCCTCAGACCGTAATGATCTATCGTTGCTTCCGCACTGTTCAGACGCTCCCAAAGGGCCCTCACAACATTTAGCTTCTCATTCATCAATGCATCACTAAGTGGAGGGGAATCAGCCAGTATATCTGCCTGTTTGTTCCTTAACACTTGAAACCGGCATGCTGACACTCTGTATGGAGCCTACCTCTCCTTCCACTTTTTCTACAAAAACGCTCTGTTGAGTCAATTATAGTCCAAGGTCCTGTACATCTGGTTTCTCAAAGAAGGCCTGCCTCCACCTCCATTCTCAAATTAGATGTTATTGTATCATCTGCAAGGCATTGTTGCATTAAGCAAACTCTATTCACTTTTGCTACTGCACTAGAAGCAAATGCAGAGGAGGGGTTAACTTGTGATGAAGGGAAAAGAGAAGAGATAACTAAGGATAATATGGAAATCTACTCCTTGAAATCTCGACTCCGAACCTACAAGAGATCTCAACAATGTCGCGTGGCGAGCTAAACCCAACCATAAGCTGCCTCAGTAGCAAGAAAAAAAAAGAGAAAAAGTTCGTTTAGGCGGGGGTAAAATCAAAGTATCTCACCCTGGCAGCAAATCTTCTGTGTGGGGTCTAATATAGTTTAACAGTAAAACCTAGACATACTAACTAAAATAACACGAATGTAAGTTGACGAATTAACAGTTTCCCTTTCCAGCTGTAGCGGTAAGGGAAACTGTTCCGGTTTGTTTGGGAAAAAAATGAACAGTTTCCCTTACCGCTATAGCTGGAAAGGGAAACTGTTCCGGTTTGTTTGGGAAAAAAATGAACAGTTTCCCTTACCGCTATAGCTGGAAAGGGAAACTGTTTCCGGTTTGTTTGGGAAAAAAATGAACAGTTTCCCTTACCGCTATAGCTGGAAAGGGAAACTGTTCCGGTTTGTTTGGGAAAAAAATGAACAGTTTCCCTTACCGCTATAGCTGGAAAGGGAAACTGTTCCGGTTTGTTTGGGAAAAAAATGAACAGTTTCCCTTACCGCTATAGCTGGAAAGGGAAACTGTTCCGGTTTGTTTGGGAAAAAAATGAACAGTTTCCCTTACCGCTATAGCTGGAAAGGGAAACTGTTAATTCGTCAACTTACCTCTTCCTGGTCCATTAATTCCCCGTATGGGTTCTGTGGCCTTATTGTGGGGAAAAACAAAAATAGACCCATTGCCTCTCTAACAAGCATGTCGTATGAGTCGACTAATTGGCGGCTTACATCGAAACTTGAGTGCATATGCCAAAGAGGCAGGGAACTAACTAATAAGCCAGATCTATAAAACGAATGTGCAGGCAACACTCAGGTTGTAGAACAAGACTAACGTTCAGAGGTGGACGAACAACCAGAACACTTTTCCCACAGTTTACAGCCAGTGAACGCGAAGAAGATGAATAAGAAAATCCATTAGTTTTTTCCTGAATACAGTTTATTTGGTGTTTTTAATTTATTAAATTATTCATGAATACTGTTTATTTGGTGTGTTCTTGGTCCATTCATTTATTTCTGAATACTGTTTATTTAATGTGTTTTTGATTTAATAATTTATTTCTGAATACTATTTATTTGGTGTGCTTTTGATCCATTAATTTATTTCTGAATACTATTTATTTGGTGTGTTTTTGATCCAGTAATTTATTTCTGCATACTATTTATTTGGTCTGTTTTGATTCATTAATTTATTTCTGAATACTATTTATTTGATGTGTTTTGATACATTGATTTTTTCATGAATACTAAATGAAAGGTTCTGCAACTCATAATCACAGGTGACCTACGTGTCCGAGAACGTGTCCAGAAGTTTGAGCGTCCAGTCGTCCAACATGTCCAGTTACCAGGTGAACATGACAGAGCTGTTGGCGGGCAGCCAATATGCGGTGACCGTCGTTGCTGTGCAGGCAACAGAAGCAGATACAGAGTTTAGCTTACCTGTTACTGGCAGCGGATACACAGGTGCCTGCCTCTTTTGTTCTGTCCCTGAAAATACGAGGAAGCTTCAAATTAAATCCTTATAAGTGTGATGGAAATTACAATAACCCCGTTATTGTCTTGTAGCCTCTCAATATTGTTGTTAAGGATGTCAAGAGTGTTAGGTACGTGACGTGGCGGCGCAGACGAACACAGTGACCTCATAATGACATTTTAAAGATGGACATCCCACTTTTGATATGCACCAAAGCCAGCAGTGGGTTTACCATAGCTGACCTTCATTGTTAAATATATAAAGAGTGTGAAGCATGCTACATCAAGGTGCATACGAATATGGTGACGTCATAATGACAGTTTAAAGTTTATGCCCCACAGGCAGAGGTTGACATAGCATAGCTGACCTTCATTGTGAAGACAGAACGCGACGTTTTAGAATGCAATAATCACAGTAACATGGTCAGATTGTGTTCAACAAAACTGCTGATGATGTTTTGACATAATGCAACTCACAGTGCTGATTATGTATCCACATATCAAGGAAAATATCTGCGGCATATATACAGTCATGAAAGTGGCCTTTCCATTTTTTTAAAATAATTTTGTTGAACAGGGTTTTCATAAATTCTGTATATTCTACCATTTTTTAACAGAAGTTGTTAAACAGGGTTTTCAAATATTCTTCTATTGGATTAGAATTTACATACTGTCCCTTTCAGTCACTTTATTTAATCCTTGAGGTAACAATCCCGGATGGCGAAAATGAAAAAATAAAGAAACAAAAGTTCTAGCATAAAATCGCGACGACTGGAAAGATCACTGGTAGAAGAGGCAGAGGCAGACCAAGAGAAATGATGGCGGATGGCCTGAGACAGTGGCATGGAGGAATATCACCAGTGGAATTGGTCCAGAACACCTGAGACAGAGATCTGTGGAGATGCATGAACGCCCATGTCAGCTGGTAAGGCACTTGATTATGATGTCATTAGTCAATTAACCATGTACCGTCTCCACAATGAAATCACTAGTGACAACATTTATAAGACAGAGAACGTGGCGGATATACTAGATATCATTCATTCTTCTTCTTCTTCAGAATTCCGAGCCCTTGAGGGTTCATTGCTGCAGATATCACCCGTTTCCATTCATCTCTCTGGCTGGCCTTCTCTTTCTAGTTGGTGACTCCAAATGTTTGTAAGTCTGCCTTGATGTTATAACTCTTTCGTCTTCTTGGTCTACAACCATTCCACTCAGCTTCCCCGTTGGCTACTGAAGAAGGGGACTGAGCACATGTGGGTATGTCCCGAGTGTAGTGTTGTCAATTCTGGATTCATTCATTCATTCAACTGCTTTGAGTACAGGGTTTTTATCTCTGTGCCACCTGACATTCTCTTAATATGCACCAGCCATTACAATGTCATCACTTGAGATTTAACACCTGTTATTCTGATTTCTCAAGACCCGCTTCCTGTGGGTCACATGAACGGCACCATGGACTCGTCTGAGGTGAGGGTGACGTGGACACCCCCTGTTGCCGGCAAGTGGGACGGCTACCAAATCAAGTATAGACCCATGCTACGTGTCAACAATTCTCAGGTCCTGATTCGTACTTTACCTCCTACGTCTACGAGCCTCAACATCACTGAACTGTTTCCCGGGGAACGATACCACCTGATACTGACAGTCCTTAGCAACAACCTTGAGAGCAGAAAGGAAGAGGCATTTGTTACAACCAGTGAGTCTTTGTTTCGATGTATTCATTTTTTTTTTTTTGGGTACTTTCAGTTATTTTGTTGTTGCCACTGTGGTTGTTGTTATAGTTATTATTGCCGGTTATGGTCTTCTTCTTCTTCTTCTTCTCCTTCTTCTCCTTCCCCTGCTGTTTCTTTTTCTTTTTCTTCCTTTTCTTCAGCGTTGTGGTTCACAGCTTATATCTGCTACTTTTCGCCCAAAACATCTAATTTTAGCACACCCCTAATTTGTTGCTTTTAGGACATGCTTGACGGGATTGTTTTTTTTTAGACGGGGAGGGGGCGGTGACCCGTAAAAGGGGGGGGGGGGGGGGGGGGGGAGAGCTTGAATCGATTCTTTTTTCCTTAAATCTGGGAGCACAGAATCCTCAGAGGAAAATTCTTGTTACTGTGAATGAACTCTTGTTAAGATTAGTAAGTTTGTTACACAGTGAGCGAATTCTCAGTACAAATACAGAGTTCTTGTTACTTGGTACAGTAAAAGGGGAGAGGGTGGGTGGAGTCTTGCCACAGTGTGGGTGTTCTTTCTATACTGTGTGTGTTCTTGCTACAGTGTGGGTGTTCTTGTTATAGTATGTGTGTTCTTGCTACAGTGTGGGTGTTCTTGTTATAGTATGTGTCTTCTTGCTACAGTGTGGGTGTTCTTGTTATAGTATGTGTCTTCTTACTACAGTGTGGGTCTTCTTGTTATAGTATGTGTGTTCTTGGTACAGTGTGGGTGTTCTTGTTATAATATGTGTGTTCTTGGTACAGTGTGGGTGTTCTTGTTATAGTATGTGTGTTCTTGGTACAGTAAAAGGGGAGAGGGTGGGTGGAGTCTTGCTACAGTGTGAGTGTTCTTGTTATAGTATGTGTGTTCTTGCTACAGTGTGGGTGTTCTTGTTATAGTATGTGTGTTCTTGGTACAGTAAAAGGGGAGAGGGTGGGTGGAGTCTTGCCACAGTGCGGGTGTTCTTGTTATACTGTGTGTGTTCTTGCTACAGTGTGTGAGCTCCTGCTTCAGTGTGTGAGCTCTTGCTTCAGTGTGTGAGCTCTTGCTACAGTGTGTGAGCTCTTGCTACAGTGTGTGAGCTCCTGCTTTAGTGTGTGAGCTCCTGCTTCAGTGTGTGAGCTCCTGCTTCAGTGTGTGAGCTCTTGCTACAGCGTGTGAGCTCCTGCTTCAGTGTGTGAGCTCTTGCTACAGTGTGTGAGCTCCTGTTTCAGTGTGTGAGCTCTTGCTTCAGTGTCTGAGCTCTTGCTTCAGTGTGTGAGCTCTTGCTTCAGTGTGTGAGCTCTTGCTACAGTGTGTAAGTTCTTGCTACAGTGTGTGAGCTCTTGCTTCAGTGTGTGAGCTCTTGCTTCAGTGTGTGTGCTCTTGCTACAGTGTGTGAGCTCTTGCTTCAGTGTGTGAGCTCTTGCTACAGTGTGTGAGCTCTTGCTTCAGTGTGTGTGCTCTTGCTACAGTGTGTGAGCTCTTGCTACAGTGTGTGAGCTCCTGCTTTCAGTGTGTGTGCTCTTGCTACAGTGTGTGAGCTCTTGCTACAGTGTGTGAGCTCTTGCTTCAGTGTGTGAGCTCTTGCTACAGTGTGTGTGCTCCTGCTTCAGTGTGTAAGCTCTTGCTATAGTGTGTGAGCTCCTGCTTCAGTGTGTGAACTCTTGCTTCAGTGTGTGAGCTCTTGCTACAGTGTGTGAGCTCTTGCTACAGTTTGTGAGCTCTTGCTATAGTGTGTGAGCTCCTGCTTTAGTGTGTGAGCTCTTGCTATAGTGTGTGAGCTCCTGCTTTAGTGTGTAGCTCTTGCTTCAGTGTGTGAGCTCTTGCTACAGTGTGTGAGCTCTTGCTTCAGTGTGTGTGCTCTTGCTACAGTGTGTGAGCTCTTGCTACAGTGTGTGAGCTCTTGCTACAGTGTGTGAGCTCTTGCTACAGTGTGTGAGCTCTTGCTACAGTGTGTGAGCTCCTGCTTCAGTGTGTGAGTTCTTGCTACAGTGTGTGAGCTCTTGCTACAGTGTGTGAGCTCTTGCTACAGTGTGTGAGCTCCTGCTTCAGTGTGTGAGTTCTTGCTACAGTGTGTGAGCTCTTGCTACAGTGTGTGAGCTCTTGCTTCAGTGTGTGAGCTCCTGCTTCAGTGTGTGAGTTCTTGCTACAGTGTTTGAGCTCTTGCTACAGTGTGTGAGCTCTTGCTTCAGTGTGTGAGCTCTTGCTACAGTGTGTGAGCTCTTGCTTCAGTGTGTGAGCTCTTGCTACAGTGTGTGAGCTCCTGCTTCAGTGTGTGTGCCTTTGCTACAGTGTGTGAGCTCCTGCTTTAGTGTGTGAGCTCTTGCTTCAGTGTGTGAGCTCTTGCTACAGTGTGTGAGCTCTTGCTTCAGTGTGTGAGCTCTTGCTACAGTGTGTGAGCTCTTGCTACAGTGTGTGAGCTCTTGCTACAGTGTGTGAGCTCTTGCTACAGTGTGTGAGCTCTTGCTACAGTGTGTGAGCTCTTGCTTCAGTGTGTGAGCTCTTGCTTCAGTGTGTGAGCTCTTGCTTCAGTGTGTGAGCTCTTGCTACAGTGTGTGAGCTCTTGCTTCAGTGTGTGAGCTCTTGCTTCAGTGTGTGAGCTCTTGCTACAGTGTGTGAGTTCTTGCTTCAGTGTGTGAGCTCTTGCTTCAGTGTGTGTGCTCTTGCTACAGTGTGTGAGCTCTTGCTTCAGTGTGTGAGCTCTTGCTACAGTGTGTGAGCTATTGCTTCAGTGTGTGTGCTCTTGCTACAGTGTGTGAGCTCTTGCTACAGTGTGTGAGCTCCTGCTTCAGTGTGTGTGCTCTTGCTACAGTGTGTGAGCTCTTGCTACAGTGTGTGAGCTCTTGCTTCAGTGTGTGAGCTCTTGCTACAGTGTGTGTGCTCCTGCTTCAGTGTGTGAGCTCTTGCTATAGTGTGTGAGCTCCTGCTTCAGTGTGTGAACTCTTGCTTCAGTGTGTGAGCTCTTGCTACAGTGTGTGAGCTCTTGCTACAGTTTGTGAGCTCTTGCTATAGTGTGTGAGCTCCTGCTTTAGTGTGTGAGCTCTTGCTTCAGTGTGTGAGCTCTTGCTACAGTGTGTGAGCTCTTGCTACAGTGTGTGTGCTCTTGCTACAGTGTGTGAGCTCTTGCTACAGTGTGTGAGCTCCTGCTTCAGTGTGTGAGTTCTTGCTACAGTGTGTGAGCTCTTGCTACAGTGTGTGAGCTCTTGCTACAGTGTGTGAGCTCCTGCTTCAGTGTGTGAGTTCTTGCTACAGTGTGTGAGCTCTTGCTACAGTGTGTGAGCTCTTGCTTCAGTGTGTGAGCTCCTGCTTCAGTGTGTGAGTTCTTGCTACAGTGTGTGAGCTCTTGCTACAGTGTGTGAGCTCTTGCTTCAGTGTGTGAGCTCTTGCTACAGTGTGTGAGCTCTTGCTTCAGTGTGTGAGCTCTTGCTACAGTGTGTGAGCTCCTGCTTCAGTGTGTATGCCTTTGCTACAGTGTGTGAGCTCCTGCTTTAGTGTGTGAGCTTTTGCTTCAGTGTGTGAGCTCTTGCTACAGTGTGTGAGCTCTTGCTACAGTGTGTGAGCTCTTGCTACAGTGTGTGAGCTCTTGCTACAGTGTATGAGCTCTTGCTACAGTGTGTGAGCTCTTGCTACAGTGTGTGTTCTTTCTACAGTGTGTGAGCTCTTGCTACAGTGTGTGAGCTCTTGCTTCAGTGTGTGAGCTCCTGCTTCAGTGTGTGAGCTCTTGCTTCAGTGTGAGCTCTTGCTACAGTGTGTGAGCTCCTGCTTCAGTGTGTGAGCTCTTGCTTCAGTGTGTGAGCTCTTGCTACAGTGTGTGAGCTCTTGCTACAGTGTGTGAGCTCTTGCTACAGTGTGTGAGCTCTTGCTTCAGTGTGTGAGCTCTTGCTACAGTGTGTGAGCTCTTGCTACAGTGTGTGAGCTCTTGCTACAGTGTGTGAGCTCTTGCTTCAGTGTGTGAGCTCTTGCTTCAGTGTGTGAGCTCTTGCTTCAGTGTGTGAGCTCTTGCTTCAGTGTGTGAGCTCTTGCTTCAGTGTGTGAGCTCTTGCTTCAGTGTGTGAGCTCTTGCTTCAGTGTGCAAGTTCCTGCTTCAGTGTGTGAGCTCTTGCTTCAGTGTGTGTGTTCTTGCTTCAGTGTGTGAGCTATTGCTTCAGTGTGTGAGCTATTGCTTCAGTGTGTGAGCTCTTGCTTCAGTGTGTGAGCTCTTGCTTCAGTGTGTGAGCTCTTGCTACAGTGTTTGAGCTCCTGCTTCAGTGTGTGAGTTCCTGCTTCAGTGTGTGATCTCTTGCTTCAGTGTGTGAGCTCTTGCTTCAGTGTGTGAGCTCCTGCTTCAGTGTGTCAGCTCCTGCTTCAGTGTGTGAGTTCCTGCTTCAGTGTGTGAGTTCCTGCTTCAGTGTGTGAGTTCCTGCTTCAGTGTGTGAGCTCTTGCTTCAGTGTGTGAGCTCTTGCTTCAGTGTGTGAGCTCTTGCTTCAGTGTGGGAGTTCCTGCTTCAGTGTGTGAGCTCTTGCTTCAGTGTGTGAGCTCTTGCTTCAGTGTGTGAGCTCCTGCTTTAGTGTGCGAGCTCTTGCTTCAGTGTGTGAGCTCTTGCTACAGTGTGTGAGCTCTTGCTACAGTGTGTGAGCTCTTGCTACAGTGTGTGAGCTCTTGCTACAGTGTATGAGCTCTTGCTACAGTGTGTGAGCTCCTGCTTCAGTGTGTGTTCTTGCTACAGTGTGTGAGCTCTTGCTACAGTGTATGAGCTCTTGCTACAGTGTGTGAGCTCCTGCTTCAGTGTGTGTTCTTGCTACAGTGTGTGAGCTCTTGCTACAGTGTGTGAGCTCTTGCTACAGTGTGTGAGCTCTTGCTATAGTGTGTGAGCTCCTGCTTCAGTGTGTGAACTCTTGCTTCAGTGTGTGAGCTCTTGCTACAGTGTGTGAGCTCTTGCTACAGTTTGTGAGCTCTTGCTTCAGTGTGTGAGCTCTTGCTACAGTGTGTGAGCTCTTGCTACAGTGTGTGAGCTCTTGCTACAGTGTGTGAGCTCTTGCTACAGTGTGTGAGCTCCTGCTTCAGTGTGTAAGTTCTTGCTACAGTGTGTGAGCTCTTGCTACAGTGTGTGAGCTCTTGCTACAGTGTGTGAGCTCCTGCTTCAGTGTGTGAGTTCTTGCTACAGTGTGTGAGCTCTTGCTACATTGTGTGAGCTCTTGCTTCAGTGTGTGAGCTCCTGCTTCAGTGTGTGAGTTCTTGCTACAGTGTGTGAGCTCTTGCTACAGTGTGTGAGCTCTTGCTTCAGTGTGTGAGCTCTTGCTACAGTGTGTGAGCTCTTGCTTCAGTGTGTGAGCTCTTGCTACAGTGTGTGAGCTCCTGCTTCAGTGTGTATGCCTTTGCTACAGTGTGTGAGCTCCTGCTTTAGTGTGTGAGCTCTTGCTTCAGTGAGTGAGCTCTTGCTACAGTGTGTGAGCTCTTGCTACAGTGTGTGAGCTCTTGCTACAGTGTGTGAGCTCTTGCTACAGTGTATGAGCTCTTGCTACAGTGTGTGAGCTCTTGCTACAGTGTGTGTTCTTTCTACAGTGTGTGAGCTCTTGCTACAGTGTGTGAGCTCTTGCTTCAGTGTGTGAGCTCTTGCTACAGTGTGTGAGCTCTTGCTTCAGTGTGTGAGCTCCTGCTTCAGTGTGTGAGCTTTTGCTTCAGTGTGAGCTCTTGACAGTGTGTGAGCTCCTGCTTCAGTGTGTGAGCTCTTGCTTCAGTGTGTGAGCTCTTGCCACAGTGTGTGAGCTCTTGCTACAGTGTGTGAGCTCTTGCTACAGTGTGTGAGCTCTTGCTTCAGTGTGTGAGCTCTTGCTACAGTGTGTGAGCTCCTGCTTCAGTGTGTGAGTTCCTGCTTCAGTGTGTGATCTCTTGCTTCAGTGTGTGAGCTCTTGCTTCAGTGTGTGAGCTCCTGCTTCAGTGTGTCAGCTCCTGCTTCAGTGTGTGAGTTCCTGCTTTAGTGTGTGAGTTCCTGCTTCAGTGTGTGAGTTCCTGCTTCAGTGTGTGAGTTCCTGCTTCAGTGTGTGAGTTCCTGCTTCAGTGTGTGAGCTCTTGCTTCAGTGTGTGAGCTCTTGCTTCAGTGTGTGAGCTCCTGCTTTAGTGTGTGAGCTCTTGCTTCAGTGTGTGAGCTCTTGCTACAGTGTGTGAGCTCTTGCTACAGTGTGTGAGCTCTTGCTACAGTGTGTGAGCTCTTGCTACAGTGTATGAGCTCTTGCTACAGTGTGTGAGCTCCTGCTTCAGTGTGTGTTCTTGCTACAGTGTGTGAGCTCTTGCTACAGTGTATGAGCTCTTGCTACAGTGTGTGAGCTCCTGCTTCAGTGTGTGTTCTTGCTACAGTGTGTGAGCTCTTGCTACAGTGTGTGAGCTCTTGCTACAGTGTGTGAGCTCTTGCTACAGTGTGTGAGCTCCTGCTTCAGTGTGTGAGCTCTTGCTTCAGTGTGTGAGCTCTTGCTACAGTGTGTGAGCTCTTGCTACAGTGTGTGAGCTCTTGCTACAGTGTGTGAGCTCTTGCTACAGTGTGTGAGCTCTTGCTTCAGTGTGTGAGCTCTTGCTACAGTGTGTGTGAGCTCTTGCTACAGTGTGTGAGCTCTTGCTACAGTGTGTGAGCTCTTGCTTCAGTGTGTGAGCTCTTGCTTCAGTGTGTGAGCTCTTGCTTCAGTGTGTGAGCTCTTGCTTCAGTGTGTGAGCTCTTGCTTCAGTGTGTGAGCTCTTGCTTCAGTGTGTGAGCTCTTGCTTCAGTGTGTGAGCTCTTGCTTCAGTGTGTGAGCTCTTGCTTCAGTGTGCAAGTTCCTGCTTCAGTGTGTGAGCTCTTGCTTCAGTGTGCAAGTTCCTGCTTCAGTGTGTGAGCTCTTGCTTCAGTGTGTGAGCTCTTGCTTCAGTGTGCAAGTTCCTGCTTCAGTGTGCGAGTTCCTTCTTCAGTGTGTGAGCTCTTGCTTCAGTGTGTGAGCTCCTGCTTCAGTGTGCGAGTTCCTGCTTCAGTGTGTGAGCTCTTGCTTCAGTGTGTGAGCTCCTGCTTCAGTGTGTGAGCTCCTGCTTCAGTGTGTGAGCTCTTGCTTCAGTGTGTGAGCTCTTGCTACAGCGTGTGAGCTCCTGCTTCAGTGTGTGAGCTCTTGCTACAGTGTGTGAGCTCCTGCTTCAGTGTGTGAGCTCTTGCTACAATGTGTGAGCTCTTGCTTCAGTGTGTGAGCTCTTGCTACAGTGTGTGAGCTCCTGCTTCAGTGTGTGAGCTCTTGCTACAGTGTGTGAGCTCTTGCTTCAGTGTGTGAGCTCCTGCTTCAGTGTGTGAGCTCCTGCTTCAGTGTGTGAGCTCCTGCTTTAGTGTGTGAGCTCTTGCTTCAGTGTGTGAGCTCTTGCTACAGTGTGTGAGCTCTTGCTACAGTGTGTGAGCTCTTGCTACAGTGTGTGAGCTCTTGCTACAGTGTGTGAGCTCTTGCTACAGTGTGTGAGCTCTTGCTACAGTGTGTTAGTTCTCTTTAATATTTTGTGGCGTAATGCTGACCCAGTGCCGATTGGTCTGTAAAAATATGGGACGCTCTTCCCATATACCCGATGCACCTTAGGCATGAAAAGGGATCTTTACTTACTTTTTTTAAACTATATTTTGTTACTTTGTGTAAGTTCTAATTGCTAGTGGTTATAATGGCTATCTTTTTTTATTTGTAAGCTATTTTCACTGACTTTTTGTTTAAAACCTAAATTCTCATTATTATTTATTTGAGTTCTTATTCTTGTGGTCACACATTCTGCAGTTATTTTGTTTCTATTAAAAAGAGCCTCTAGCACCAAAAGATCTCCAAATTGTCAAGAATAAAACCACCTCCACAACCGCTACCATCAGCTGGGCGTATGACAAGTCAGCAACCCTCACCAGCAAATGGAGAGTTCATGTTCAAGGTGGTGCCAACGACATAGAAGTTCCCGCCACAGAGCAGACGGGATATTCTCTGATACTGGACAATCTTGTTTCTGGCCAGACATATGCTGTTGGAGTCACAAGTGTGGTTGACAGTAGCACATCTCAGCAACTGACTCTGCATGTGACAACAAGTAGGTCATATATGTGTCTTTTGTCTGTGTTCATGTCTCTTATTATCTACAGTCAGGATCATTGTCATTCATAATGTTAATTAATGGTTTGTTGTCATTTATAAAGTTAATCAGTATGTGTCATTTGTAAAATTAATTATTGGAGTGTTGTCATTTTGCATGTGTGAAGTTAATCAATGATGTGTGTCATTTGTAAAGTTAATCAACAGTATGATTTCACTTAAAAGTTAATCATTGGTATGTTATCACTTGTAAAGTGAATCAACTGTATGTTGTCTTTTGTCATTTGTAAAATTAATAAACAGTATGATGTCACTTAAGTTAATCAAGGATGTTCTCTCACTTGCAGAGTTAATCACTTGTTTGCTCTCACTTGTAAAGTTAATCACTTGTTTGCTCTCACTTGTAAAGTTAATCACTTGTTTGCTCTCACTTGTAAAGTTAATCACTTGTTTGCTCTCACTTGTAAAGTTAATCACTTGTTTGCTCTCACTTGTAAAGTTAATCACTTGTTTGCTCTCACTTGTAAAGTTAATCACTTGTGTGCTCTCACTTGTAAAGTTAATCACTTGTTTGCTCTCACTTGTAAAGTTAATCAGTTGTGTGCTCTCACTTGTGAAGTTGATAAATTGTGTGCTCTCACTTGTAAAGTTAATTGTGTGCTCTCCCTTCCAAGGTTAATCAATAGTGTGCTCTCACTTATAAAGTTAATCAGTTGCGTACTCTCACTTGTAAAGTTAATCAGTTGTGTGCTCTCACTTGTAAAGTTGATAAATTGTGTGCTCTAACCTGCTTGTAAATTTAATCAGTGGTGTGCTCTCACTTGTAAAATTCATAAATTGTGTGCTCTCACTTGTAAAGTTGATAAATTGTGTGCTCTAACCTGCTTGTAAATTTAATCAGTGGTGTGCTCTCACTTGTAAAATTCATAAATTGTGTGCTCTCACTTGTAAAGTTGATAAATTGTGTGCTCTCACTTGTAAAGTTAATCAGTTGTGTGCTCTCACTTGTAAAGTTGATAAATTGTGTGCTCTCACCTGCTTGTAAATTTAATCAGTGGTGTGCTCTCACTTGTAAAGTTGATAAATTGTGTGCTCTCACCTGCTTGTAAATTTAATCAGTGGTGTGCTCTCACTTGTAAAGTTAATAAATTGTGTGCTTTCCTTTGTAAAGTTAATCATTTGTGTGGTATTACTTGTAAAGTTCATCAATGGTTTGTTGTCATTTGTATGTTTAAAACTAACCAAAAGTCTACTGTTTTTTTTCTTTTTTAAACTTTGTTTTCATTGTTTGCTTGTGATCAGAAACAGTTCTCTTGTGTTCTTTTGCAGCAGGACATATTTTGTTTCACTGACCAGAGGTTGTACAGACTGTACTTGTAGGTCACACTGTAAAGATGTTAAGATACATAGTACCATGATTCAAGCCACAGTGTCTGGATACTTCAAAGATAACCCCAGTGCTAAGTTTGTGCATAAGCTAACTAAGCTGCAGCTAGGTGCCTCAGTCTGCAGGGACCTCAGCTATTTCCCATTTTGTTGTTGTTGTTGTTGCTCACCAATGTAATTTTCTGTTAATTTTTTGTTTATTGTTTTTTTTCAACGAATCAACATCATGGCACATGGGTGCAACCCATAAGTGCTCCGTTCTACTTCTGACTCAAGCCTGAGTCTGAAGAATCTCAACACAGTGCACGAACTCTGTTGCACCGGGGAGGATCCTGACATTTTTTGGGTAGATTTTTAAACCCCAAGTTTTCCCTAGGCAGCGCTGTTAGGCTACTCTTTTTGATTTCCAAATGCCAAGGTATTTGTTTACGTGCACAACAATACACACGGGCGTCCGGGCTTACTACCCAGAGATCAGGGGAAATTATTAGAAGTCCATGTAAAATAATCCCAGCCTTGGAGCCCAGGACCTCCTGCATTCGAGTCTGTTAATGGAACCATTGAGAGTGTTATATAACTTCTGTGATTTTGCAAACACATTCTTTACTATTTATTAAAAATTAAGCAACAATATATTTACATTATCCATATATGTAAACGGCATATTTATTTGCAAGTTTCTGAGATTAGCTGGTGCAATTCAAAATATTTGGGCCTCCGGGCTTTTGATAGTTTAGGGCCTCGTAAAGTCTCAATCTGGCCCTGGATACAACCATAAATATACGCAATGGTGTTTACATGTTCTTCTTCTTCTTCTGCCTTTCTATCCCCCAATGGAGCATAGGCCCCCTACCAACTCATGCCAAGTCGTTCTATCCTTTGCTACTACATAGAGCTCTCCCCATGTCCTCCCATCTTTCTAACTTCATTCTCTAGCTCTCTTCTCCATGTGTTCTTTGGCCTTCCTTTATTCCTATGCCCCTGTTGGTTCCAATGTTTAGATGTTACAGAGATACAAATCCTCATCACGTGACTTGCTGAAGGGTGTGGGAGATCATGTCTCTCCACAACCTCTGATCTCCAACATCTTGTGTGGACACCCCTCTAGGTCATTACAAAAGGTTGTCAAGAATATTCTTATGTTTTCTGCTTTTATCTTTATTTCCATGAATGTTTCTAGTCATATATATGTTCCAGTTTTTCTTGTCATAAAATGGCAAAACAAGATGACTGTCTCGTACTGATGTTTGTGATAAATAAGATAATACTGTGATTACAGAAAGATAGTGAAATAGTGTCTTTAGCAACTCAACATTCACTGGGAGTCGCTGTGGTCTAGCGGCTAGACACTCATTTGCGAATCGGAAGGTCGTGGGTTCAGTTCCTGACCGGGCCTGACTTTTTTTTCCAAAATGACCTTGGATCCCAGGTTGACCCAGCCTTGAGTGGGTACCAGGTACAGTCCTGGTAAGTAAAGGTGGCCAGTGTGATGCTGATCAAATCACCCACCAAGTGCCGTTTGGTCTATAAAATATAGGTCTAGCTCCATATACCCATTGCCTGAAAGGCTGGAAAAGGGTCCTTTGCTTCACTTATATATATATATATATATATATATATATATATATATATATATATATATATATATATATATATTTATGTCCTCTACTTCTTGCTGCTGACACATAAGGCATTCACAAGTTATCTTCAATGCTGCCAACCTGCTGCTTTTCTGTCTATGGTATCCCATGTCATTTTACACCTCAGCCAAAAATATGATTTCCCTGTCTACTGTCCCTCTCCAGATTCTCTTAGGTCATCCACATCTTTTTTCCATCAACTGTCCACTTTTGAGCTGTCATGTACTCATATTAGACATCGAGAAAACAGAAGTCAGGTAGTCAGTCATTTCTATCCTCATGTTTTATGGTTTACTGTCATCAAGTTCTGTTTCTCTTTCAGAGCCAGTGATTAACTCCAGAATGGAACCTGTTTCTTCTACCAACACTTCATTTACCATCAGTTTCTCCAACACAGCAAGCAGTATTTATGATTACCTCTCATTCACATTGATGGGAGGAGCTGGACGTCTGCCGGAAAACCGGACCAATTCAGAGCAATCTCACACAGTGACTTTCTCACAACTGGAGGCAGGAACCAAGTACACCATCCAGGCAGTTGCTGTCAGCAACGGGGAGGTCAGCGATCCTGTCTTCCTGGAAATGATCACAGGTTAGTTCTCATGCGATAGGTTACATTTCATAGATCAGATATCATAGGTCACATATCGCAGGTCAGATATCTGAAGCATTATATCATGATAATATATTCCAGAAAATGTGTGAAACACCAGTAGGGAGATGAGGTTTAGAGGAAAGCAATATTTGGTACACATCTATTTGGTTGGTTAGCAAAGATAAAGACAGTTTCTGGTGTAATAGTTATTGTTACTGTATTTTGTTTATATTGTAACAAAATATAGTTTAACTAACTACAGTATATGTACTCACAAGGTATATATATATCAGTTGGCTAAACTGGACTGTGCAGCTACCGGGTGATGAACTCCTTGTGGTCCAGGTTTAAGCCCAGGGTAGGCAGAGAAGCCACATTTCTACCAGATTTATGGTATCTTGGAGTCAAGACCGAAGGGTTGCTTTATCCATATGTACTAGGGCGGAGGGGCCCTTTAGTAGCAAGAAATCTTCTGTGTAAAGTCTAGATAGGCAAATAACGGATAAAATAAACTAGGTACACTAATTACAAATCCTAAGCTGATGGAAACAATTGTAACTATGAATACAATGTTGAACATAATTTTTTTCAACTTCACATCAGCATGGCCAACAAATAACGACATTAACGACAACTACGTGCTCGGCCAGAATCTGAAATATATAGCGATCTACCATCTAACTATCTCTTAGCAAGAATACAAATGAAAGTCTATTTTAACCAACTGAACGTACCACCGCCTGGAATCAGTTAGACCACGGACGTTCCTCACGATCCCCATACCTGTCGACTAGCAAAGCACAGTCGCTAGGTAGGCTACGTGGGTCTGTCCGGAAGTCGAATAGGTTGCTCCAAGACTAAACAAAATCTTTTATACCAAGCGAGCCAGATTTTTCCCTATCTTCCGTCTAACTCTATTAGTTGTTCCAGTGGCCTTTTAGCCATTTTCAAACCAGAATAAATATAAGATCTTTTATTTGTTGCACTGTAATGTTCTTCGCTTCCAACCTTTTACACATAGTACCGAGCCAAAGGGTTAACAGCTCATGGTTTCTGAATATTTAAAAATATATTGTATGTGTATGTGTATATATATATATATATATATATATATATTATATATATATATATATATATATATATATATATATATATATATATATATATATATATATATATATATATATATATATATATATATATTATGCAGGCTTGTGTTTTCAGCACTCTGCTTTATGGCAGTGAAACTTGGTCAACTTATTCATACCAGGAGAGACGGCTAAATAGCTTTCACATGCGATGCCTAAGAAGAGTACTTGGCATTAAGTGGCAGGACAAAATCACAATCACTGAGGTACTGGAAAGAGCGAGTACTACAACAGTCTTCTCAATGCTCAGTCTATGAAGGCTCAGGTGGCTGGGTCACACCTAGAGAATGGAAGAATGGAGGATGGCTGAGTCCCTAAGGACATCCTTTATGGTGAATTGAAGATGGGTAGACGATGTTGAGGCCGACCTTTACTACAGTATAAAAATGTGTGTGCAAGCAGGACATGAATGATACAGGTATTGAGGTGGACTCATGGGAACAAAATGTCATGGACCGTGTTGTATGGAAAGGGCATATCAAGAATGAAATGAGAGTGAAGGAAGAAATGATTGCAGAAAGGATGAGAGCTGAGTGTCTGAGAAGAAACAAACTAAACACAAGTATTGACAGTAATAGTCCTGAAATCACATGCTTTCATTGTGGAAGACTTTTCTTGATACAGGAAAGGGGGGGGGGGGGGTCTTGCTAGTCACACTCGCCATCGCCATGAGCTGTGAGTCTCATGCTTCCTCATAGCCCAATGTAGCACTATCATCTGTCATCTGGAAAGACAGAAAGGTGCCAATCAGTTATATATATATATATAGCTTTTTGTAAAACTGGTTATCTTAAAACAAATTAAACATAATGATCATTTAGTGATTTGAATCATTTATTCTAAAGTTAAAATTAATTGTACACTAGTTTATTATGGATAAGAACAACTTTTATCATCTTTTTGTGATTTGAATTAGATATTTTAAAGCTAAAGCCATCTGATTTATCATGAGATAGAATAAACACAGTTATAACACAGTGATATAACCATAATCTCCTTCCATGCATGTCCTTCTTAGATCCCAATCCTGTAACAGTGAAACTTACATCAAGTGATACTTCAGTGACCCTTGACCTGACCCCTCAACAAGGAACAGCAGCCCAGTACACCGTGACGTGTATATCTGCAGACAATAAGACTACCTCATGTGGAGAGCAGACAGTAACTGCCGGACAACAACAGTTGGTCTTTTCTGACCTCACTCCATTTCAGGAGTACAAGTTTACAGTTGTTACCAAGACTGAAATCTTGAGAGTTGAACACAAGCAAGTGGTCATGGAATATCAGACAATGACTAATGAAGGCCGTAAGTTGACAACAATAACAACTATTCTTAGAAAATATATGCCTTAATATACATCTCTTTCTCTCCGTGTGGGTTCTGGTGCCCTATTGTGAGGGAAAACAAGAACAGACCCCCTCTGCCTTCCCAACGAGCATGTTGTAAGAGTTGCTTAACCGTGGAGCTTCCTTCAAAGTAGGAGTGCATCTGCTTGATAGGCAAGGAACCAACAGTCTGCATTAAACATGTCAGATTTGTAAAACGGATGTGCATGCGACACTCAGGTTCTGGAGCGGAACAAAATAAGTCCAGACCAGAAGTGGATGAACAACCACAGCTTTCCACCAGAATTTACAGCTGGTGAATGTGAAGAAGAAGAAGATACATCTCTTTCCTTGAATGATTGACTGACTGTCTACCCCACCAGGACATCACACAAGCGATGAACACCCGATGACACAATGTGCCACCATGTGGGTGAGGATCACCGTGGAGAGGTCCCAGAAACCGCGTTCAGCCTTTAGGCCATATTTATGGCCAGGCTATATTGTGGCCCCTGGCAAAAGCCAGAGTAGGGCTTCAAAGAACAAAAAATGTCATCCTAATAAGGACGAGAAGAATGTATTAGGTGTTCTTATATGATGTATGACTCTTTCCTTTATTAGGCTTGCTTATTATTAAACAAGTGACACATATTAAATTCTAATAGACTTCAATGGTTGGGGCGTGCAATAGGAACTGCAGACTACAGAGACCAAAAACTTAGTCCACAAGAGTTGAATGGGAGTAGACTAGAAAGCAGACCAAGAAGATGGTGGAGAGATATTATAAAAACACGAACTGCTGTTTGTCTGTCAAAAGTGCTGAAGAATATTTGTCAACTCTCTTTATGCCTAGTGGCACCTGAGGCTTTAGAGAGGACTTTCCCTGCTTTCCTGTCCTGTGCAATCTTCAGTGCAGTTTTTCATGTCAGAGATGCCGCACTCAGGTCACTTTCCATCGTTCGTCTCCATGTTGTTTTTGGGCGCCACTGTTTTCTTTTTCCCTCTGGTATCCATGTGAGAGCTGTTTTAGCAGGTATATCAGGATTCATTCTCATAACCGGGCCAAGCCATCTCCATCTTCTCTTGGTTATCATACTGTCCTGAGTTTCTTGCTTTGTGACTTGAAGTAGTTTAGTGTTTGCTAAAGATTATTTAGCATCCACAAAAAAGTAATTTTCACTGATTGTGAGTACAAAGATGACTAATGAGTGATTAATGAAGATTATCATTACAGGACTTTGGACAGATCCCTAGGTGCTCCCTTCTCCTCCTCAAAAGCTCCATAAGCATAAATTGATAGGTGATGCCTTTTGTGTTGATTAATCAAACATCTTGATCCCTTGGTGAAATGTTTATTCCTTGCAGCTCCATGTTGCATCCCAGTGTTCATCTGCCTGGATAGGGGTACAAATTCATGCCTGTTGTGGTATTTGTCTTTAGGCTAGATCCTATGGATGACATTGATGACATGCCTGTTGTGGTATTTGTCTTTAGGCTAGATCCTATGGATGACATTGATGACATGCCTGTTGTGGTATTTGTCTTTAGGCTAGATTCTATGGATGACATCGATGACATGCCTGTTGTGGTATTTGTCTTTAGGCTAGATCCTATGGATGACATTGATGACATGCCTGTTGTGGTATTTGTCTTTAGGCTAGATCCTATGGATGACATTGATGACATGCCTGTTGTGGTATTTGTCTTTAGGCTAGATCCTATGGATGACATTGATGACATGCCTGTTGTGGTATTTGTCTTTAGGCTAGATCCTATGGATGACATTGATGACATGCCTGTTGTGGAATTTGTCTTTAGGCTAGATCCTATGGATGACATTGATGACATGCCTGTTGTGGTATTTGTCTTTAGGCTAGATCCTATGGATGACATTGATGACATGCCTGTTTGTGGTATTTGTCTTTAGGCTAGATCCTATGGATGACATTGATGACATGCCTGTTGTGGTATTTGTCTTTAGGCTAGATCCTATGGATGACATTGATGACATGCCTGTTGTGGTATTTGTCTTTAGGCTAGATCCTATGGATGACATTGATGACATGCCTGTTGTGGTATTTGTCTTCAGGATAGATCCTATGGATGACATTGATGACATGGCTTTTGACCAGTACTGAGTCAGTCATATCATTACAGTGTGTACTAAAGTTTGTAAACAGTGGGAAAAGTTTCTAAATGGACTACAGTAACAAACTTGAATGTGTCTGTTTTCCAGCTCCTGGGGCAGTGATGTCACTGAGTGCTACAGATGAAGATTTGCATACTGTCATGCTTAGCTGGCAACCTCCAGAGCTAACCAATGGTATTCTTCGATCTTACTCAGTTTCCTACCACGGTCACGAGCCATCGGATGTTCAGGTTTTCTTTTTGTTGTTGTTGTCTCTTTGTGTTTGTTTGTGCATATTTGTTTCCATTTATTGTCTGACCATTCTTGCAATATTTTTAGTCTTCCATATAACAGTTAAATACTTTTTCCTTATGTTTTATATTATTTTACCGCAAAGTTTTATGCATGACTTCCCTGCGTAAATTCTGAGCACTATAGGTTTGATTTGATTCAAGAACCGACATCACAGCACTCTGGGCATTCCCATAAGCACTCTGTCCCCATCTTCAGCAGCCAGCGAAGAGTTCTGATACTAATAGTGCCAGTAGCATTCTGATTTAATGTCCATCTTGCCTTTCCTCTAAGCCTTGAGCAATTGCCAGAACCTCTTGTTACTCCCCCCTGCATCAATCTCATCAGGCTGTGATGATCCTCCAAACTGCACACGCTCTCCCACATGGCACTAACCATGGGTGCTATAGAGAATATACTCACTGCCCCATAATATGCATTTTGTCAAACATGACCTTGTAAGGGTTGGCTGAAACTGAATGTGCTGGGTCACAAGATTTCGCAGCCTTGCTGTAAACCACAACACAGTGTCCTAATCACATTGTCAGAAGAAGAAGCTGATGATTTGCCTTCTTCTTCTCAGTGGTAACTGGCTGAAAACTCTGGAAAGAAAGTTCTGATTGATGGTCACTTCTGAACTGAAGTCTTGTTCCAGACCTTGAATTATACATGCACATCCATATTACTGGTCTAGCTTTTTTTGCATACAAACTCCTGATTCAACATCTCATGCAGACGTGCTCCAGCTTCAGAGGGAAAGTTCCTACTTAGTCATCTGTTTACTTGTTACATGTAGTTTGCTAGACCCCCGGAGGTAGTTTTCACTAATTATGTCAGTAAAAATTAGTGGCTATCCTCCGAAAAACGGTCGGTAATGATGGCGGCTGCAAAATATCCTTTCGAGCCACAGTCACGTGTCAATTGCGCACTTGCGGCGACTTAATTTGCGGTTCTCTAGCAGTTTTCTGGCGACTATCGCCACCGCCATGAGTCCCCCTGCCATTTGGATTTTTACGAGCAGCCCTGCAAATGGGAGTCCTAGCCCTAGTTTAAACCGTGTGAGGGACTCGTGGCAGTGACGGTAGTGGGGATAACCGATTCATTCAAATGTTTTCACTAATCTTTACCGACCGTTGTCAGTAAAATTTTTTGATATTCTAATTTGACTGTTAAAATCAGTCCAATTATTTTTTTTCCTAATGTGGACACTTCTTTAAAATCAGATCATTATTTGCTATTGTAAAATGAAAGAAATTAAAAAAAGGAGACAACCAAAATATTTTAGCTACATTAAAAGACATAGCACTCTTTTTCAAAACTATACTATGTGGTTTGAGATTTGAAGTTTGAACAACGGATCAACATCATGGCACACTGGTTAGTGAGCAATAGTGCTCCGTTCTTCTTCTTATCTTACTCAAGTCTAAGCCCGAAGAAGCTCAGCACAGTGCACAAGCTCTGTAGCACGGGGGAGGATCCTGAAATACTTTGGGTACATTTTAAACTCCAAATTTTGCCTATCCAGCGCCGTTAGGCTATTCTTTTTTACTTCCAACTGCGCACAGACATCTGATCTCACAACCCAGAGACTGGGGGAAAATTACTAGAAGTCCAGGTCCACAGGGGGGAAATCCCAACCTTACCGAGGATTGAACCTGGAACCTCTAGCACTCAGGGTGGACACCATGCCTCGAGACCACACAGCCCACGTAACCAAACTAGGTGGAAAAGTTGAAGAGAAGAAAGCAAGAGGTAGACAATGATACAAGTAGAATAACAACATCAACAGGACCTTTTTCACACTGGGCCTATCAAGCTAAATTTGTCAACATTTGATGCTAGACTCGTGTTTTTAGAGATCAGTCAACACTAGAGTGAGGCTGGCCACCTTTACTTCCCAGGACTCCCTGGTAGCCACAGTAGACTGTCAACCTGGGAACCAAGGTCAATTTTATGATGTATGCCTAATGTATATAATAGCACTTGTAGACTCTGATTGATAGACCACGTATGATGGTAAAATTAAGTGTATGTTTTGATGTGTTTAATGGTCAAATCAGTAAGATTATTCAGCTAATAAAGTTAATAAAGTTGTGTTTACATTCCCATTATATCATATCATAATACGCACGTAGTTTATTTAATGTTATAAACAAATGTCAATATTATGGTGCCCTCAGAATGAAGAAAGCAAAGTCATCAATGACATTAGTGCAGCCAATACTTCGCTCAAGGTAGACAACCTGCGTGCTGGCTTTGAGTACACATTTCAGGTCAGAGTTACACAACTTGGTTGTGATTAATTTATATTTCCTTTTTTTTTTTTTTTTCAAGATTTACACTTCCGAAACATACACACTTCACAAATACACAATCTTACATACACTAATAACACACGAAGTAGAACAATGCACCATGCAGCATATTACAGAAGATTCAATCATATTTTGAGTTACTATTTTGCTAGAAGTATTACCAACTGTATCTGTTTACCTGCACAGGGCTGCAGATTACACTACCCTGGTGCAGCCATTATTGGTGCTCTAATTAAAACTTCTTTTGAGGGAGAATGGGGTATCTTGGATTTGCCCTGTTGGCTTGCCTGTTGGTATGTGCCAGGCAGTTAGAAAATTGACTGGAGTATCTAAAGATGTGGATATACAGAAGAATAGGTCGTATTTCAAGGAAACAAAAACAATCAAACTCAAAGGTTCTGAAGAGAACCATGGTTTCCTGTCTGTTCTGGCACACTTCACAGACAGCAAAGGTAAAAGTGGCAGTATTTGACCATGTACCCTTTCCTAGCCTGTAGTTTCCCAGACCTTCTGTAAGTTCCTTCCACCTTTGCACAAATTTTTGCAGCTTGACAGCGATTATCTTCTCCCAGACTTTCCCAAAATGTAAGGAGATTGGGAATGAAAAGAAAGTTGCTGATGGACTTTTAAAAACAAATCCAAAAGAGACAACTGAGATTTTTTGACCAAATTAAAAGTCATAACAATTTTAAAAATCATACTGATGGAAAAGTTTAGAGCAAAAGAGCAAGAGGTAGAAACGATACAAGTGGGAGGATAAAATCAAGGAGGATGAACAGCGGTATGAGAGAGTGTACTACAGGACATGTCAGAGTGCTTTGGAGATCTATTGCAGCCAGCATTGTGTAGATAACACCTGATTGATTCATTGTAAAGAATATAGGTCTGGTAATTATTTATATTATAATATATATAAAAGCCAACAATGGATTTGATCCCGCTACAACAAGTACTATGAGATAAAAATTAGTAATCATAAAAATGTACCTGAGAAAGACTGTAGGTGTGACCAGAAGAGATAAAATCAGGAATGATTTCTCACAAGAAGTCGGCACAGAACCAATTCTAAATTACATACAAAGACAGAAAATCAAATGGCTTGCCCACTTGGAGAGAATGCCTTCTGATGCTATAACATACAAAGCATATATCAAAATAGGAGAGGCACGTAAAGCAAAAGGTAGATCAAGAACAAGATAGGAAGATAACATCAGAGAAACTCTACAGCACTACTGTGTTTTCTTGTCTTGTGTATATGTGAACTGGCTGGTGAATTTCTATAGGTTTCACCAGTTTGCTGATTTAAGAAAATTTAAAAAAAAAAAACTGAAAACAGAATGCTGCTCTGCTTTGGTGCATTTCACAAATGAGTAAAGATCATTATGACGTCACCATGTTCAACTGCATCATGATGTCTCAAGCTTAACACTCTTAAAATCCTTATAACATTATTGACAAATTATGTAAAGGTGGCATGGTTACACACTGTGAAGGCTTTCATTTGAAGCCCCTGTGTGTGTGTGTGTGTGAATACATGCATGCGTGTGTGCGTGAGTGTGTTGATATATATATATATATATATATATATATATATATATATATATATATATATATATATATATATATATATATATTATAATTATTAATATTATAGACATTTTCATTTGTAAATGTAAATCTATTCTTACTCAGTTTCTTCTGTATTTACTCTTTAAAAAAAAAAAAAACTATAAAAAAAGAAAACAGTTGGCACACTTTTTGCAGTTCACAGCTAAACCTAAATCTGATTTTGACACACTTTTAGTAATCTTTCAAACTCGGTGTGCATCTGCCTGAGAAGCAAGGAACCAACAGTTTGCATACGAATAAGTAAGATTTGTAAAATGGATGTGCACACAACACTCAGGTTGTGGAACAAGTCTAAAGTCCAGAAGTGGATGAACAACCGGAATTTTTCGCTAGAGTTTATAGCTGGTGAACCCGAAGAAGACAATAAGAGGCCCACCCACTTCCCCCCATGGGGTCTAGGAACCAACATTTAGGCTCTAGTCATCTAAGACAGAGTACACCAGTCTAGTACTAGGTGTTACCTGTTAACAGTGCCCTAACTGTAACTTCTTATGGAGGCTGAACAGTGTATCTGAGATGGTCCATTTGGACTGACATCCAAGATATGACTCATCAGATCATCAGGGTACGAAATATTTAGGTAACAACCTGACAGATGGGTTGTTTGTTTTTTTTAAATTAAAAATAACCAGTTATGATCCACTAACTCAGGCGGTGTCTTTGTGCAAATATTTGTGTATCACAGTCACTGCAGTGAGATATCTGAGACAGGTGGTCCATGTGACAAAAAGGGACACAGTCAGACAATACCTCAAGATCTTGAAACCCAAGCCTTACAAATTTGTGTGGATCAGTCACAGTTATGATTGTTTGGACATGTATGCACAATGGGAGAAAATTGACCACCATGGCAGGCATTGGAGGCTAAGAACCAGGGAACCAGACCTCCAAGGCAACCCAGGGGACTCTAGGAAGACAACATCTGACAGTCCCTGACTGACAGAGGACTGGAATGGAACCAGACCAGAAATAAAACTGCTGAAAGAGAAGTCTGGCGATATCTCTGACAAGCCTCTACACCGCAGGGTAGGAGAGGAGTAACTAAGTAAGTAAAATCACTCAGGCTCTCTCTTCCCCCTCCTCACTCTCTCTTACACATACACGCCCACACCTATGCTCAAACACATACACGCCCACACCTATGCTCAAACACATACACGCCCACACCAATGCTCAAACACATACACGCCCACACCAATGCTCAAACACATACACGCCCACACCAATGCTCAAACACATACACGCCCACACCTATGCTCAAACACATACACGCCCACACCTATGCTCAAACACATACACTTATGTAGTTATTTTATAACTGCTCACTTTAGGTGGCAGCTTCAACAGTGAGCCCTGGTCAAATCACAGAAGTCAAGCTGACCATGAAAACAACAGGTGAGATTACTAAACTATATTCATTTACGGAGATCTGATTGAGTTGCAGATTATTTAGTTATACGAATGAGTTATTATAAATAGCCTCACGCCTGGTGTTACTTCTTCACTAATGTCCCCTTTGTATCTTCTTTGAGGGCAGCTTCATACCTTAACCTAATGCCCACTTTATATCTTTAATATCTTTTTTATCTTTTTTTTGTTGGACTGTTGTAATGCACAGAAATGAACAGCTGGGGAACACTTGAAGTTGAAGTATATCTTCCTGATGAGAGGAGAGGAACCAACAGTATGCATACAAATAATCCAGATATGGGAAACAGATGTGCACACACAACTCAAGTATGGGGAAAAGACTAAATTTCAGGTGTGGACAAACAACTAGAAGTTTCCATCAGATTTGAAGAAGAAGAGTGTACATGCAATATTTGACAATGAATGCTTTCATACTTTCTGAATGTAGAGCCAGAAATTAAAATATTTGTGTTGGCTGTTAGATTTGGTTTTAGCATGGACACTATAACAGCTGAGATTAGCTGAGTTAAGAACTAATTTAAGATGAACACCAGAAGGAGAAAAAAATGGGGAAGACTAAGACCCTGTGAAGAACCATCGTTAGGGAAGGCTCAATCATAGGCCTAAAGAACATGAAAGACCTAAAACAGGTGGCGTCGAACTGCCAAACATGGAGTGCTATGACCTTTGCCTACTGGACACATCAAACTCTACAGAAATATTTACAAGAAAATTAAAGATTGTGGATTCAGAACTTTCCCCGTGTGGTCAGGCATCACAGAATACTGAACAAGTGCTACAGACATGCTCTCTACATACAGTAGAGAGACCCCAGGTTAGTCCGGTTGGCCTTCCAATGGAAACCAAGCTGTATGGAAAAGTGGAAGACATGCGTCACACTACAGACTCCATAGAGGCCTGTGGTCTTTTCATCTGAAAATGGCAGGCAGGGAAAACAAAAAGTTGAAGACATCTAGCTTGTTATGCATCAATTTACTACCAACTGGTACAGAACCAGCAAATCTGTCTGCCTGTTTGATACTAGAAAATAAGTGGGAAATCATTTTTGTGTTTCTAGCTCCAGCCTTTAAGCCAGGCTTGACTTCTGCGACATCCAAACCAACAATTGCAGCTCCATCAGTGAGAGTGGTCACCGACAGCCAGATTTCTTTTGTATTCATCGACCCCTTCTCTGATGACAACGGTTTAGTCAGGTAAGTAAAGCACATTAAACCAGGGGTTCCCAAGCTTTTTGACTTGCAGAGTCCCTTTAGAATTCATTTCTATGTTGAGGTTTCTTAGGCTTACTGTACCCTCTGTCATACAAGTTAATGGTGTTTAGAAGTACTGTTACTGACAGGATCCTCTCCGGTGCTATGGGGTTCGTTCACTGTGCTGAGATTCTTTGGACTCAGGCTTAAGTTAGAAGTAGTACAGAGCACTTATGGGTTACCACCATGTGTTGTGATGCTGATCCGTTGCTTAAGCAGAAACAGAAAGAGGGAGTAGATAATAAGGGAATGTAAAGAGATATCTAAACAACTGTTCAATGCCCAATCAAGGAAATAATAGTCTGCATCCAAATAAACTAGATCTGCAAAACGGATAAGCATGCAATACTCAAGGTCTGGAACAGGACTGAAACCAAGAAGTGGACGAACAACCAGAACTTTCAGCCAGAATTTACAGCTGGTGCATATGAAGAAGAAGAAATTTACCATAATGGTCAATTTATTATCAAATGCCACGAGTACATATTATATTGTCAAGTCTTTAGTGTACATAAAAGTTCTTTCAAAGTTAACAAAAATCAAACTTGTTAAATAAAGTTTACATTCTTGGTGAGAGTAACAGCAAATTTCTGTTTATTATTTAATTCTTTGTTTTCTTATTTTGATTCTGATTGTTATTTCTTAATCTTTAATTTAATTCAATTAGTATTTTTTCCTAGGGTGGAGCGGCATCCGTCACTTAGGCGTTGCGAGTCCGACTCGTAATTCCAACGTACTGCGATCGAAACCCACATCTGGCTGTGTGGATTATAGTATAGGGCATCGCTGGTCGACCCAGCCTTAAATGGGTACCAGGATGTCTGTCCTGGGGAAGTAAAGATGGCCAGCGTAATGCTGACCACATTACCCACCTAGTGCCGATTGGTCTGTGAAAATATGGGTCTCTTCTCATATGCCCGATGCGTCTAAAGTCATAAAGGGATCTTTACTTATTTACTTTTCTAGGGTGCCCCTTGGGGGCTCTACGAGGCTCAGTTTAAGAATTGCTGCATTAAACAGGGATTTCTTATATTTCAGTTAGTTTCTGAAAATATGAATGTTTCCAATAATTTCAGTTTTTTTTCACATATTTGCATAAATTATCTAATGTGCACAAAATATTTTATTTAATAAGTAAGCAGCACTTAATAAAAATATGAATAAACAGTGACTGAGATCATCTGTTTCAATGAACAAAAACAACAAAAAATGGTTTACGCATGTACCCACTGACACACAAACACACACAAACACACACACATATATACAGACAAACACTCCATACACATAAACATGTACATTCGCACACACACACGCACACACTCATGTAGGTACACGCGCACACTCGCACACGATATAAAAATTACTACAGCAGTTTAAAAGGCAAATGATAAACAAACAGTGTAAAACAATGTAAAAGATTAAACCAATCTGGGGTGTTTTTTTTTTACATGAGCAATCAGACAATCCCTTTTGGGTATATGACAGAATCCATCATTCAATTAAAGTGAAAACTATGATGGAGATTTTAAACTGTTTTCAGTTATTCTCTGCCTGATTGTTTCACAAAATAAAATAAGACAAATGAGTGAAATAATCACGGAGTCACTAAATAATGAAACAAACAAACTTGTCTCCAAAGCAATTGTTATTTGATGCCAGTCAAATGTATGAATTAGGAAACAGGTATAGTAACTATAGTTGGCAGAATAAGTTTAGATAGGATAGGATAACCAACAATCAGATTTTTCACATGGAATTACAAAAGCATGTAACTCATTTCAATTTTAGCATAGGACAGTCAAAGCTGAAGAGTCACTAGACATAGAAAGATGTTAAACACATTAAAAAAATAATGCCTATAAATTGGATGATTTCAAGAAAAGTGAAGAAATAAAAGAAATTACCAGACAACAGCTCATATCAAGAGTTATAATACACATAAGTTGGCGATACTAAGCACATCGTGAGGAGAGAAAAAAGAGAGAATCCCACAAATACACTTAAATTGGAAACAAATAGACTGACAACAGGAGCACATCCAAGAGAAATTCTAAAATGAATGTTGACAACAGAGCAAAGGTGTTCGGCCAAGATATCGAGACAATTGCACAATATAGAACAGTATGGAAGAATAAACTGCAACACCTATATGACGTATAAGGGCACACCAGGGTATTGATGATGATATCTTCTTCTTCGATCCTTCTGTCAGAAAACTTATATCAGGAGGCCGGTAGCCTTTATGAAAGCTATCGTGCAATCCATATCCTCTCGTGTACCATACAGTTTTGTCTTCAGTGTGGTTGGAACAGGCCAGATTGCGTCTCTGTTGTCAGCATACAGTTGACAGTGTTGGAGCACATGCTCAGCATTTTCGGGTGCCACGCTGCAGGGACACGTCTCCGTATTTCCTACACCAAAAAATTTGAACATATGTTGACAAAATCTGTTGTGCCCTGTCCTTAGTCTGAATATAATACACAGTCCCTCTCTAGAGAGGCGATGAAGTGAGTCTTGGGGAGAAAATCTGGTGTGGGTATCCAGCCACCTTTCTTGGATACTAGCTTGTATTAGTGTTTTCATTTCTTGGTGGGTTAAGTCGCTATTTGGTTGTAAACATGATGATGATATGTTAGGAGCATGTAGAAGCTGAAACAGTAGGCCAGCATTTGTACTGATTCAGGAGCAATGTTTTGAAAACTGAAAAAAAGTTTATTAATTAGAAAGCTGGTTTTGTAATACCTGGTATTAGGATGTGATGTTTTAGTCATTTTAGATCTCACCTGGTATTAGCATATGATGTTGTTTTAGACATGTTAGGTCTGACCTGGTATTAGGATGTGATTTTTTTTAGACCTTTTAGGTCTGACCTGGTATTAGGATGTGAAGTTGTCTTAGACCTTTTGAGTATCACCTTGTATGTAGGGAATTATTTTTCAATGATGAGTTGTCTTATTCCTGTGTGAAATCTGCCAGGTACCACACCGTGATAGTCTCTAGGAATCTAACAGCAGACGACAAGTCACCAGCTTTACCCAGTTGGACAGAGGCCAACAAAAACAGAGATGCTCAAGTTTATCAGGCTGTAGGACAGTATGTACTTGCATTTACTTATTTCTCAATTTTAACATTCTCAGTTCTAAGAATCAGCACCATAACATTGCAAGAAAGTAAACAGATGCTCAGTCTCCAACAACAAATGTCAAAATGAGTAGTTGTTGATCTAATAGGAGGAGCAGCTGGCTGAGCGGTTTCAACATAGGGCTCTCGTGTGGGGGACCAGGGTTCGATCCCCAGTAAAGTGATGGAGTTTTTCTGTCAAGGGCAGAATTGAACATCCAAACCTGCACTGTCCATGGCAACAGCACTAGCCATGCGACGCTTAATCCTCAGTCTCAAGGTCCTCCTGTCTACACAGCTCTAAAAAGTGATGAAACAGATAGTAGTGACAGTTTGACTGCTGATCTAATTATCCAGAACCTTACAAAGATAGGTGTGAAAAAGCACCTGCACTTTCACTGAGGATGCTGGCTGCCAGAAAAAGCAGTGAGGAAGAGAACTGGCCACTCAGCTTGGTTGTAGTGGTCTGTTTTATTTTCAACCTTGATGTGTTAATCATAAAGACTGCAATCAGCTAACTACCCGACCCCATTCCATGGTTAGGTAAACAATTTGGCGGCCCACCTGAATTTGTCAGCAACCCACCAGTGGACCCCGGCCCACAGGTTGAACAACACTGGTCTAGAAAAAGTGAGGACCTAACACTTCATACCTCAGCGGCAGTCACTGCGGGACTAACTTTTAACCATCACCATCATCAACTACTTCTGCTGTTGAGCACTGTGGGGAAGAATAATTTGCAATTCAATGCACGTTGCTGCCACCGGCTATGGTCATGCTGTAAAGACATAAGATGTCTTTAATGTTGTCAATCCACATTTTTGTGGTCATCCTCTTGCTCTTGTAGCTGATCTTCTCAGATGTAGTGCCTGTGATCAAGACAGGTGCATTGTGAAAAGCATAGACTAGTCAGAAGCAAGAGTTATGAGGTAAAAAATTATTATGAGTTGTCAAGAAAAAACAAAGTAACGGAATGACTGAATTAGGAGAGTAGCAGAGTAGATTTGTCCAAAGACAAGATATCAACAGTGTTTCATCATCATCATGCAACACACTTTTTAATAATGATTCTTTTTCTTCAACATTCTGAGCCCTTGAGGTTCCCTGATGCAGTCACCTGTCTCCATTCATCTCCACTGGCTTTTTCATTCCAGATGGTGAATCCAAGTGTTTGTATGTCTGCCTGAACATTATATCTCTGCTATCTTCATGATCTGCCTTAAGATCTCCTCCCATTCAACCCTTCAGTGTATACAGTTGTATTCTGTTTGTTATCTGACTTTCTTTCTAAATGCTTCAACTATTTCAGTCTATTAACCCATGTGATGCTATTTAATAGTAGTAATTTAAACAGATTATGAAGTGAAGTTTTGCTTTTCACACTCCATTTTCTGCCATTTTCATCTTTGCTGGGTCCAGAGATTCATTAGAAGACCTTATCAAAAGTTTCTTATAAGGTTTCTTCTCTTTTAGTTGTATTGCAGGTTTCAGAGCCATATAGACAATTAATCTAATCAGTTTTTTTATATTGTTATTTTTGTGTTACAAGACAGAGTATTTGATTTCAGCAGATGTTTTAGGGCAGTGGTTTTCAACCTTTCTAATGCTGCGACCCTTTAATACAGCTCCTCATGTGTTGGCTACCCTTTAATACAGCTCATCATGTGTTGGCTACCCTTTAATACAGCTCCTCATGTGTTGGCTACCCTTTAATACAGTTCCTAATGTGTTGGCTACCCTTTAATACAGTTCCTAATGTGTTGGCTACCCTTTAATACAGTTCCTAATGTGTTGTCTACCCTTTAATACAGTTCCTAATGTGTTGGCTACCCTTTATTACAGTTCCTTGTGTTGTGGCGACCCCAAACCATACAATAATTTGTGTTGCTACTTAATAACTTCAATAAATATTTGTTTTGCTATGGTCTTTGGTGACCCCTGTGAAAAAGCCGTTCAACCCAAAAAAGGGCAGTGACCCATAGGTTTAGAACGCTATTTTAGAATATAGTGTACCTTGAATTACTTTTTTTTCTCTTACTATGTTGCAGTTGCTGAATTTTGTACCCAAGTACTAGTATGTTTCCATTTTTTTAAAATCATAATAATTTTCTTATATCCATGTTTTGTAGCATTTGTCATTATGTCTATTCTCAGCCTTCTGACTCAGGTATTATCAATCGTTTTCAGTACAGATTTTTTTTTGTGCCATATTGCCAGACTGTCATACATGTTCTCTCTGGATGTCTCCATGCTTCTCTTCCCCTCCATCTGCCCAGTTGTCATGACGTACTTAGGTTGTTCACTTCTCATGTTGTGCTCAAAGAAAGTGCATTGTCTCCATCTAATGTTGGTTATGTGAACATACAGAATAATAGGTTACATCTCATGGAAATGAAAACAGTCAACTATACAGGTTCTTTAGAGATTTAGAATGAAAAAAGAATTGCTGAAAGAAATTAAAAACAGCCACATTAAAAGACACATATAACTTTTAAAAACCCCTACTGAAGGGAAAAATCAAAGATGTCGGAGCAAGAAGTAGACAATGATACAACTGGGAGGACAACATCAAGAAAAGGAGGAGCAATAGTCTGAAAGAATGTAACTATCATGACAAGAGAGTGTGTTGCAGCCAACCTTAATTGTGGAGTTGGCACCTGATTGCTTGGTAAAATAACATGAATAGTGTAGAGTGATCAGGTTATGGGAGTTCCAACAACACACAGCAAACCGGTCAGTCAGCCCATAATTGTCCCCTTCCTGTGCCAATAAAAACCACACAGAATGTACATCACTGCCTTGTGTGAAAAAAAATAATTTGACAGTTTGCAGTCTTAGCAAATCCAACAGCATACTTGCACATTAAATACATATCGCAGCAATCATGAGTGCCAACACAGACAGTCCGACACTAGAAATGCAGTTCTTTGTAGATGGAAGCAGCAGTTACAACAGATCATTAGTTGTACTCGCAATTAGTTGCATAAGGCACCACCAGTTTTTCTAGCAACAGGCCACTAGCCGTTTTTTGAATCTGCAGTTCGCAATACAATCCATGTTAGGTGCAGTCAAAAAGCATTTCAAATCAAGTCACACAACTCACAGTGTCAACTTGATTTTTGTCAGCTAACTATTGTCAGAAGCAAAAACTTGCCACAACTAAAAACAGTTGACCTGCTGTCTATCCATTACAATAATGTAGTGATGTCACATTTGACTAGATCTTGTTGTATTGTGGTCACTTTAATTATTGCTTTCAGGTAAGTTAATGCTTACATGCATTGGTTTTATATCATGGTACTGGGTGTAGCAGGTCGACCCAGCCTAAAGTGAGTACCAGGATGTATGTCCTGGGGAAGTAAAGACGACTGGCATAATGCTGACCATATTACCCACCTAGTGCCGATTGGTCTGTAAAAATATGTGTGCTTTTCCCATATGCCCGATGCGCCTAAGTCATGAAAAAGAATCTTTACTTTTTTTTTAAATGTATATATGTGTAATTGAATTATCTGTATCATTATAGAATCTGGTTAATGATTCTTTGAATTGTCCACACAGATGTCCAGATTTTTTTCTGGCAAACTCTTTGTGTGGAGGAAGTGGCAGTCAAAGAAAATATACATCAGCCCCTCCGCAGTCTCGTGTGTTTGTGCTTGGGGCTCAGACAGCATCAGAATGTCAGAAGCTGCAGTATTGTAACGGGCCTCTTCTTGCAAACACAGAGTATTATGTAAAGCTTCGAGGCTACACCGCCTCCGGCCAGTACCAGGAAACTGAATATTCAGAGAAAATTAAAACAGGTATTGTTCAAGTTAGAGGTCATCTTCATCGCACATCAGACATGACCATAAGTGCTCCAATCTCTTCCTGAGTTGGTCTCCATGTGTTTGTAGGCTAACAACTCGCATTCTGTTCTGGTTGATGTAATGATGGCTGGCTCCCGCATGGTTTCCATGTTTTGCTGCTCCCATCGGTAGACTCAGGGTATGCAGTCGATTCAGTGAAAAATAATTTTCCACGAAACTGAAAGCCTCACAGCGTTTAGTCTCTATTATGGCATTGATGATGTCTCTCCTGTCCATTTCTAATAGTTGCACTGCCAGCCAGAGTTTCTGCTCTCTCATTGCCTTTTAAACCAGCATAACCTGGGACAAAAATGAGGGTGACTTTGCAAGATGCTGCATGCTGAATCAGATGGAGCCACTGTTTTCCTATGTACCCAGCCTTGATCTTCTGTATCAGGCTCACTGAGTTACTGAGCAAGCATGCTTTGGTGAACTCCTGAGTTTTCAGCCATACTTGGGCCTTTGTCACATCCATGACCTCCATCGTCATGCTGCTGGTGGCAGAGGCAAAGGCACCACTGTCATCTTTAATGACCTTCCATTTAATTCTTGCCATGAAAGCCCATGCACTTTGCCTCTGACGAATTGCAGAACCATCTGTATATATAACAGTATTTAAAACAGGTGAAGCAGAGACAATTCTAGACCTGATCTACTAGAAGTTTCTTATGTTTATGGTGTGTACTCTTGAGAATTGGGACAGCTAGTTATTCCCTTGTACAGCATAAGACAATTCCAGTCAGCACAAAGAAACATACAAAGTGTTTTCATGCCCACTCTTTGCTACCAGTGCCAATCTAAATCACTGACAATAAATCATAAAAGACAATAACTAACCATGGAAGTTAGAAGTCTGAGAAGGCTGTAGGAGTGAGCAGAAAAGATTAAATCAGGAATGAGGTCATAAGAGAAACATTAGGCACAGAACCAGTTCTAAATTTCATAAAGAGGCAGAAAACCAAATGGTTTTCAGACAGAGAGAATGCCTTGTTACACCATACCATACAAGGCAGGAACCCCTCCCAAAAAAAGACAGATGTAAAGCACAAGGTAGACCAAGAATATGATAAAATGATAACATCAGAGAAACTCTACAACAGCACAATGTGTCTGTGGTCGAGGCGGCCAGAAGAACAAGAAGCAGAATCTTGTATCTTCCTTGACACCTTAAATGGTAAAGGAGGAGGTGGATAAGGAGAAGAAGACACATGAGGATGTTGTCTGATAGACTCTGTATCTCTCTCTCCAGAGGGTACAACCTGGAGCTACCAAACATGAACATTTCATTAAGGGCTCAAGACATTTTCTTTATTAACACATAAGTGTGTGTTTTCAGTGTGTGGAGCTTTTGAGGAAGATATGGCACCACCAATGGATTGTCCAAAGTGTTTTGATGTTAATCACTGAAAATGATGCTCTCGGCTGGTGGCTAGTCATTGCGGTGGAGAGAGAGAGAGAGACTGAGCCATGCAGGATAAAACCCAGAGCAGTGAAGTCGATCCTCTCACCTTAAACCTTTAACTAATCACTGATTATTATTATAACCATTATCTGAACCTATCAGCCAGTGCACCTTATTGTCAATGATTGGCATCATTTAGTGAGGATTTTCATTTCTCTCACTGCATGGATTAACTCTCCATTTGCTGTTCTTGCTTATAGTTGTGTATAGGATTTATGTTTGATTTGCTGATAAAGACATTGGTGATTGATTGTTTATTCGATGGATCAACATCATGGCACACGGGTGTAACCCATAAGTGCTCCGTTCTACTTCTGACACACGGGTGACTAACCTTACATGTGTAATTGAATTAGCTTTATCGTTATAGAATCTGGTTCATGATATTTTGAAATTACTAGAAAAAATCCCAACTTTCACTGGGGCTTGAACCCGGTACCTCCAGTAAAGGCAGACACTATACCTTGAGACCACTCAGCTCCCATACATTTGTGAAAATGTTCAGTTGTCTGTATGCATCTTTGCTTTCCTTTAGTTCAGCTTTCTACTTATATTTTGTGCTGTGCTAATTTAGTTCTCTATTAGCCAGTGTAGTGTTGTTGACTGATAACAATCAGTAAGTGGTACAGTGACACTGTCTGTAATAACACAGCATTTCTGAATACAATAATCCATGTGTGGGTTCCACACAAAAAAAGGATAGACCTACTGCCTTCTTAACAAGCACATTCTAAAAGTCGACTAATTAAGGGTGTTTCTTCAAAGTGGGAGTGCATCTGTCTGAGAGGCAGGTAACCAAAAATCTGCATACAAATAAGCCAGATCTGTAAAAGCGATGTTCATGCAAAACTCAAGTCTGAAACAAGACTAAAGTCCAGAAGTGGTCAAACAACCAGAACCTTCTGCTGAACTTTAGAGCCGGTGAACGTGAAGAAGAAGAAGGATAAAATAACACTCATGATTATATGATTGTGTTACAGCTGAAACAACATTGGCAAGTAATGCGGTGGTTGTTGGTGGAATCGCTGGAGCCGCTGCTGCCGTTGTCATTATTGTTATCATCATTATTGTGTTTGTGATACGACACAGACGTCAACCAAAGAAAGCATTAAGGCATGTAGATTCTGGAAGGAAGTCGGAACACTCACACATCAACCGAAGCAGGTATACATGTGTGATTTGTTAGTTTATTATAATCATATCAACATTTTCCCCGTTTGGGTTCTGGGGCAACGTTGTGGGAAAACAAGAATAGATCAACTGCCTTTCTCACAAACACATCGTAAGAGTCAACGGACTGGGGAAGGGGAGTTGGCTGGGTGGGGGGTAAGATGTGTATACAGATAAAAAGCCTATTATTATAGTAAAATATTTACATGTACACATCCATTTTATTGCAGTAACATTTATCCATACATAAATATCAGTTTTTTTACAGTAAGATATGTCCACAGATAGATAGCCTATTATTATAATAAAATATATACATGTACACATCCATTTTATTACAATAACATTTATCCATATATAAATATCAGTTTGTTTACAGTAAGATGTGTCCACAGATAGATAGCCTATTGTTATATTAAAATATATACATGTACACATCCATTTTATTGCAGTAACATTTATCCATACATAAATATCAGTTTTTTTACAGTAAGATATGTCCACAGATAGATAGCCTATTGTTATATTAAAATATTTACATGTACACATCCATTTTATTACAATAACATTTATCCATACATAAATATCAGTTTGTTTACAGTAAGATGTATCCACAGATAGATAGCCTATTGTTATATTAAAATATATACATGTACACATCCATTTTATTGCAGTAACATTTATCCATACATAAATATCAGTTTTTTTACAGTAAGATATGTCCACAGATAGATAGCCTATTATTATAATAAAATATATACATGTACACATCCATTTTATTACAATAACATTTATCCATATATAAATATCAGTTTTTTTACAGTAAGATGTGTCCACAGATAGATAGCCTATTGTTATATTAAAATATATACATGTACACATCCATTTTATTACAATAACATTTATCCATTAATAAATATCAGTTTGTTTACAGTAAGATGTATCCACAGATAGATAGCCTATTGTTATATTAAAATATATACATGTACACATCCATTTTATTGCAGTAACATTTATCCATACATAAATATCAGTTTTTTTACAGTAAGATGTATCCACAGATAGATAGCCTATTGTTATATTAAAATATATACATGTACACATCCATTTTGTTGCAGTAACATTTATCCATACATAAATATCAGTTTTTTTACAGTAAGATGTGTCCACAGATAGATAGCCTATTATTATAATAAAATATATACATGTACACATCCATTTTATTACAATAACATTTATCCATACATAAATATCAGTTTGTTTACAGTAAGATGTATCCACAGATAGATAGCCTATTATTATATTAAAATATATACATGTACACATCCATTTTATTGCAGTAACATTTATCCATACATAAATATCAGTTTTTTTACAGTAAGATATGTCCACAGATAGATAGCCTATTATTATAATAAAATATATACATGTACACATCCATTTTATTACAATAACATTTATCCATATATAAATATCAGTTTTATTACAGTAAGATGTGTCCACAGATAGATAGCCTATTGTTATATTAAAATATATACATGTACACATTCATTTTATTACAATAACATTTATCCATTAATAAATATCAGTTTGTTTACAGTAAGATGTATCCACAGATAGATAGCCTATTGTTATATTAAAATATATACATGTACACATCCATTTTATTGCAGTAACATTTATCCATACATAAATATCAGTTTTTTTACAGTAAGATGTATCCACAGATAGATAGCCTATTGTTATATTAAAATATATACATGTACACATCCATTTTGTTGCAGTAACATTTATCCATACATAAATATCAGTTTTTTTACAATAAGATATGTCCACAGATAGATAGCCTATTATTATAATAAAATATATACATGTACACATCCATTTTATTACAGTAACATTTATCCATATATAAATATCAGTTTTATTACAGTAAGATGTGTCCACAGATAGATAGCCTATTATTATAGTAAAATATATGCATGTAGATAACTATCCATTTTATTATGTTGTCATTTATCTACAGCCGACCTGTAAAAGTGGCAAATTTTTCGATCCATGTCCTGCAAATGTCTGCAGATTCTGATTTTAAATATGCAGAGGAATATGAAGTAAGTGGTGGGTTTACTTGTCTCACCAATGGGGATTGGTTGATAATTTGCATGTTTATGTTGTGTGTGGGATTGGTCCCCACTGTTGTGACTGCAGTAGTGTAAACAGTGTTGTGACTGCAGTAGTGTAAACACTGTTGTGACTGCAGTAGTATAAACACTGGTGTGGTTGCTTTAATGCCACTTGTATAATTAATAGTATGGCTGCAGTAGTGCCACCTGTATATATGTCGGTGTGGCTGTAGTAGTTTCACTTCTCTAACTAATCATCTGTTAAATCAATGTTTTTCAACTTGTTCACCAGGTGGTCCACTAAAAATGTCCACCCAATCATGTCTCCTATTTTTCCAGTCTATGTTGTAAACAATGTTGAAAAAACACTATTAACTAAATTGTAAACAATTTAAACGTGAAAGACCATTTTCACCCTATTGTTGCCTTCTGGCATATGATGCCAGACCCATGTTTGTATAGACCAATCAGCAGATAATGGGTGATGTGGTAGCTAGGTAGGTAGGTAGGTAGGTAGGTAGGTAGTTGTACCCCACCAGGACATCACACAAGCTATAAACACCCGGTGACCATGCGGAATAGGATCCCTCCTAGAGAAGTCCTAGAAACCCCTTTCAGTCGCTAGGCCATATCTGTAGCTAGGCCATATCCATTTTTAGGGCCTCTGCTGAAGCCAGGGTGGGGCTTCAAAAAACAGAAAATTGCATCCCACATGGGGACGACTTTTAATAATAAATGGGTGATGTGGTAAAAAATTATACTGACTACCTTTACCTACCATAACATTTTTTGGTGCCCATTTTAGGCTTGGTCAACCTTTGAGCTGAAGAATAATTATACAAAATCTGCCACAGTGCGAATTTGAATACAAGACCTCTGAGACTAATTTACAAACCAGTATTGAGTCTACAAACCAACACAAAACTAATATACAAAGCACAATTAAGACTACAAACCAGTATTGAGACAACAACCAGTATTAAGACTACAAACCAGTGTGGAGACTACAAACCAGAATGGAGACTACAAACCAGTATGGAGACTACAAACCAGAATGGAGGCTACAGACCAGAATGGAGACTACAGACCAGTATGGAGACTACAGACCAGTGTTGAGACTACAAACCAGTATTAGGAATACAAACCAGAATTGAGACTACTAACTGGTATTGAGACTACAGACCAGTATTGAGACTACACACCAGTACTGTGACTAATTTACAAACCTCTATCAAAACTTATTTACAAACCAGTATTGGAACTAATTTACAAACCAGTATTGGGACTAATTTACAAACCAGTATTGAGACTAATTTACAAACCAGTATTGGGACTAATTTACAAACCAGTATTGGGACTAATTTACAAACCTCTATCAAAACTTATTTACAAACCAGTATTGGGACTAATTTACAAACCAGTATTGGGACTAATTTACAAACCAGTATTGAGACTAATTTACAAACCAGTATTGGGACTAATTTACAAACCCCAGTATTGAGACTAATTTACAAACCAGTATTGGGACTAATTTACAAACCCCAGTATTGAGACTAATTTACAAACCAGTATTGGGACTAATTTACAAACAAGTATTGAGACTAATTTACAAACCAGTATTGAGACTAATTTACAAACCAGTATTGGGACTAATTTACAAACCAGTATTGAGACTAATTTACAAACCCCAGTATTGAGACTAATTTACAAACCAGTATTGGGACTAATTTACAAACCCCAGTATTGAGACTAATTTACAAACCAGTATTGGGACTAATTTACAAACCAGTATTGGGACTAATTTACAAACCAGTATTGAGACTAATTTACAAACGCCAGTATTGAGACTAATTTACAAACCAGTATTGGGACTAATTTACAAACCAGTATTGAGACTAATTTACAAACCCCAGTATTGAGACTAATTTACAAACCAGTATTGGGACTAATTTACAAACCCCAGTATTGAGACTAATTTACAAACCAGTATTGGGACTAATTTACAAACCAGTATTGAGACTAATTTACAAACCCCAGTATTGAGACTAATTTACAAACCAGTATTGGGACTAATTTACAAACCAGTATTGGGACTAATTTACAAACCAGTATTGAGACTAATTTACAAACCCCAGTATTGAGACTAATTTACAAACCAGTATTGGGACTAATTTACAAACCAGTATTGGGACTAATTTACAAACCAGTATTGAGACTAATTTACAAACCCCAGTATTGAGACTAATTTACAAACCAGTATTGAGACTAATTTACAAACCAGTATTGAGACTAATTTACAAACCAGTATTGGGACTAATTTACAAACCAGTATTGAGACTAATTTACAAACCAGTATTGAGACTAATTTACAAACCCCAGTATTGAGACTAATTTACAAACCAGTATTGGGACTAATTTACAAACCCCAGTATTGAGACTAATTTACAAACCAGTATTGGGACTAATTTACAAACCCCAGTATTGAGACTAATTTACAAACCCCAGTATTGAGACTAATTTACAAACCCCAGTATTGAGACTAATTTACAAACCAGTATTGAGACTAATTTACAAACCAGTATTGAGACTAATTTACAAACCAGTATTGAGACTAATTTACAAACCAGTATTGGGACTAATTTACAAACAAGTATTGAGACTAATTTACAAACAAGTATTGAGACTAATTTACAAACCAGTATTGGGACTAATTTACAAACCAGTATTGAGACTAATTTACAAACCAGTATTGAGACTAATTTACAAACCAGTATTGAGACTAATTTACAAACAAGTATTGAGACTAATTTACAAACAAGTATTGAGACTAATTTACAAACAAGTATTGAGACTAATTTACAAACCAGTATTGAGACTAATTTACAAACCAGTATTGAGACTAATTTACAAACCAGTATTGAGACTAATTTACAAACCAGTATTGAGACTAATTTACAAACCAGTATTGAGACTAATTTACAAACAAGTATTGAGACTAATTTACAAACCAGTATTGAGACTAATTTACAAACCAGTATTGAGACTAATTTACAAACAAGTATTGAGACTAATTTACAAACCAGTATTGGGACTAATTTACAAACCAGTATTGAGACTAATTTACAAACAAGTATTGAGACTAATTTACAAACCAGTATTGAGACTAATTTACAAACCAGTATTGAGACTAATTTACAAACAAGTATTGAGACTAATTTACAAACCAGTATTGAGACTAATTTACAAACAAGTATTGAGACTAATTTACAAACAAGTATTGAGACTAATTTACAAACCAGTATTGAGACTAATTTACAAGCCAGTATTGAGACTAATTTACAAACAGGTATTGGGACTAATTTACAAACAGGTATTGGGACTAATTTACAAACAAGTATTGAGACTAATTTACAAACCAGTATTGGGACTAATTTACAAACCAGTATTGAGACTAATTTACAAACCAGTATTGGGACTAATTTACAAACCAGTATTGGGACTAATTTACAAACCAGTATTGAGACTAATTTACAAACAAGTATTGAGACTAATTTACAAACCAGTATTGAGACTAATTTACAAACAGGTATTGGGACTAATTTACAAACAAGTATTGGGACTAATTTACAAACAGGTATTGGGACTAATTTACAAACAAGTATTGGGACTAATTTACAAACCAGTACTGGGACTAATTTACAAACCAGTATTGAGACTAATTTACAAACCAGTATCGGGACTAATTTACAAACAAGTATTGGGACTAATTTACAAACCAGTACTGGGACTAATTTACAAACCAGTATTGAGACTAATTTACAAACAAGTATTGGGACTAATTTACAAACAAGTATTGGGACTAATTTACAAACCAGTACTGGGACTAATTTACAAACCAGTATTGAGACTAATTTACAAACCAGTACTGGGACTAATTTACAAACCAGTATTGGGACTAATTTACAAACAAGTATTAGGACTAATTTACAAACCAGTATAAGGACTCATTTACAAACCTCTATCAAAACTTATTTCCAAACCAGTATCAAGACTCATTTACAAACCAGTATTGATATTAATTTACAAACCAGTATCAAGACTTATTTACAAACCCCAGTATTGAGACTAATTTACAAACCAGTATTAAGGCTAATTTAAAAACTAGTATTGAGACTACTTTACAAACTAGTATCAAGACTTATTTACAAACCAGTATCAAGACCATTTACAAACCAATATTATATTGTTTTCATTCAGGACCTGAAAGAGGTGGGTCGTGGCCAGCCATGTCGAGCTGCAGAACTACCATTCAATCAGCCAAAAAATAGGTTTACCAATATCCTCCCTTATGACCACTCTCGTGTCCTGCTGATGCCAGATGTCAACCAAGAGGGTTCTGATTACATCAATGCCAGCTATATGTCAGTGAGTATATGATAGCCTTAATGTTACCTATATGTCAGTGAGTATATTCTTCTTCTTCTTCACTTCCTCTTTTACCGCTGTGGGTGTCGAGGGAGATATAAGGTTCTGTTTCTAGCCTGTTGTAGAGTTTCTCTGATGTTATCCTTCCATATTGTTCTTGGTCTACCCCGTGCTCTATGTCCTTCTTCTCTTTCCATGTATGCTTTGTATGGTATGGTGTCACAAGGCATTCTCTCTAAGTGGGCAAACCATTTCACTTGCTGTCTTTGTATGTAATCCAGAATTGGCTCTGTGCCGACTTGTTCTCTTATGATCTCATTCCTGATCTTATCTCTTATGGTCACTCCTACAGCCCTTCTCAGACATCTCATTTCCGTGGTTACTAATTTTCTTTTATGGTTTGTTGTGAGTGACCATGTCTGGCACTGGTAGCACAGAGTTGGTATAAATATGCTTTGAATAAGATGTTTCTTTGTGCTGATTGGGATTGTCTTATGCTGTAAGAGGGGTGCTAGCTGTCCCAATACTTGGTTTGCTTTACTGCATCTAATGTCAATTTCTTTATCCAATTTCCCATCTTCGGTAAATGTAGTTCCCAGATATTTAAACTCAGATGCCTGTTTAATGCCTTTGTATTCTATTGCTATGTTTAGATCTGTCTTCTTTTTTCCTATTGACATTACTTCTGTCTTTTCAGTGTTGATTCTCATATTATTTGTTTTACATTCTTCATTCATGGATGTTAGATGTTGTTGCAATTTCATGGCTGTATCTGCTATCAAGGCCTGGTCATCTGCAAAGAGTAATTGGTTGATCTTACTAAGATCTTCATTCATGGGCTTGGCATTCTTGCATATACTGTCGATGTAGGTGATAAACAGCAGTGGTGATAAGACACACCCCTGTCTTACTCCAGATGTCACTGTGAAAGGATGAGATGTTCCCTGATTTATTCTAACTACACTTCTACAATCCCTGTATAAACTTTTGCACACTTCGATGAGGTGTTCGCTTACTCCATATCTTGCCATTATTTTCCATAATAATTGTCTGTCGACTCTGTCAAATGCCTTCTCCTGGTCTACGAATGCCACAAATAAGTTCTTATTGTATTCAATGTTCTTTTCTATTAACTGTTAAAGTGTGAAGATTGCATCTGTGCAGCTTCTATTTCTCCTAAATCCCATCTGTTCTTCTGCCAGCTGTGGTTCTATCACTGGTCTCAGTCTTGTTTCTATTATCTTGGCATACATTTTGCCAACATGGCTTAAAAGAGAGATGCCTCGATATTGACCGCATTCTCGTTTGTTTCCTTTGTTCTTCCACAATGGTATAACTATTGCATGTTGCCAATCAATAGGGGCCGTTTGTTGTACCCATGTTGCATTGAATATTCTGTGAAGCCATCTGATGCTGCTTTCACCTGCTGCTTGAATTATTTCTGTTGGTAATCTATCAGCTCCTGGTGCTTTATATTTGGGAGACTGTTTAACGACTTTTTCTATTTCATCCATTAGTATGTGTGGTTCTAACACTGTTGCTCTGTGCTCTTCAGTTGTTCTTTCCTGATGATCTCCTAGAGGATTTAAGAGCTCATTGAAATATTCCCTCCATCTTAGTCCAGATGTACCAGGAAACCCACTCCATTCTTCGATGTTTCTCCTCCTGCATATGTTAGTAAGTAACCTCTGTGTATTTTCTTATTAATATTTCCCTTGCGTCTTATGTCAGCTAGCCCCATTAACTTGATTTTCCTTTTTTCCATCATTTCAATAATCTCTTCTGTTTTATTTCCCAGGCCAGCGGTGTTAAGTGTTGCAATCTTGTATTTCGCTGTTTTGTCTCTTAGTCCCTTAACATTGCCATGGTCAAATACCGTTTGATTAGTCCGTTTATATCTCATTTTGATTTCTGTAGCGGTAATAAATCCATTGCCGGCTTGCTAGGCCTGTCGCAACTTCACCAGAGCCCCGTTGGCCAGGACGTTTCGGGGTGACCCAGGGTGGCCTTCATGGCTACCGTAGCAGTCCCGTGGCACGAGGCCACACCATACTTGGCCCACACTTAGCAATCCCCTACTTTGTCCTGTTACCACCTCTCACGACGAGGAAGTGAGTATATAATAGCCTTAATGTTACCTATATGTCAGTGAGTATATAATAGCCTTAATGTTACCTGTGTGTCAGTAAGTATATAATAGCCTTAATGTTACCTGTGTGTTAGTGAGTATATATTCAGCTGCCTTGTGTATAGTTTTTACCTCTCTGTCATTTGACATTCTCTCAATATGCACCATTTCAGTCCATTAGATCTCATGATGCCAGTGATCAATGGTGATTTAAACAGATTAGAAATTTCGTTGTTGCTTCTCCTTGTCCATTCCCCGCTGTTTGCATTATTGATGGGTCCTAAGATTTGTCAAAATACTCCGCTTTCAAAAATGTGTAATGAGGGTTTATCTCTTTTAGTTGTGCTCCAAGTTTCAGAGCCACATAAAACTACTGGTCTTGTCAATGTTTTATATATATATCGATCTTGGTGACTCTAATGTTGTGAGATAGAGACTTTGACTTTAGCAGATGTTGAAGGGCATAGTATACAATATTTCCAGATTGTATTCTAGATTGTATGTCTTCTCTCAGCATGTTGGAGCAGTTGAAATTTGCACCCAAGACTTATATGTTCCCCTTTGTTTGATTTTCATATTAATAACTTGTATATGGCCTGAGTTTATATCCTTTCCCTGTCTTGTTATTTTCATATATTCTGTCTTATCTTGATAGATAATGACATTAATCTCGAAACCCATTTATATGATTTTTTTTTTATTGTTAAATCACACAGGGCTACAGCGGCCCCCGGGAATATGTGGCCACCCAAGGCCCCCTGGCAGCAACTCGGGATGACTTCTGGAGGATGGTCTGGGAGCAAAACTCTCGCAATATTGTCATGCTGACACGGTGTCAAGAGAAGGGCAAGGTCAGATCTACATACAACAGTACTGATGGTGTTGTAATGTCTTCAGTCTTCACTAAATACTAGATCTTCACTAGATCCTAGGTATTCACTAGATGCTAGATCTTCACTATACGCTAGATCTTCACTACATGCTACGTATTCACTAGATGCTAAATCTTCACTAGACGCTAGATCTTCACTAGACGCTAGATCTTCACTAGATGCTAGATCTTCACTAGACACTAGATCTTCACTAGATGCTAGATCTGCACTAGACGCTAGATCTTAACTAGATGCTGGATCTTCACTAGACGCTAGATCTTCACTAGATGCTAAATCTTCACTAGATGCTAGGTGTTCACTAGATCTTCACTAGATGCTAGATCTTCACTAGACGCTAGATCTTCACTACATGCTAGGTATTCACTAGATGCTAGATCTTCACTAGACGTTAGATCTTCACTAGACTCTAGATCTTCACTATATGCTAGATCTTCACTAGACGCTAGATCTTCACTAGACGCTAGATCTTCACTAGACGCTAGATCTTCACTAGATGCTGGATCTTAACTAGATCTTCACTAGACGCTAGATCTTCACTAGACGCTAGATCTTAACTAGACGCTAGATCTTCACTAGATGCTAGATCTTCACTAGATGCTAGATGTTCACTAGATCTTCACTAGATGCTGGATCTTAAGTAGATGCTAGATCTTCACTAGACGCTAGATCTTCACTAGATGCTAGATCTTCACTAGATGCTAGATCTTCACTAGATGCTAGATCTTCACTAGATGCTAGATCTTCACTAGATGCTAGATCTTCACTAGACGCTAGATCTTCACTAGACGCTAGATCTTAACTAGATGCTGGATCTTAACTAGATCTTCACTAGACACTAGATCTTCACTAGACGCTAGATCTTCACTAGACGCTAGATCTTCACTAGATGCTAGATCTTCACTAGACGCTAGATCTTCACTAGATGCTAGATCTTCACTAGATGCTAGATCTTCACTAGACGCTAGATCTTCACTAGATGCTAGATCTTCACTAGACTCTAGATCTTCACTACACGCTAGATCTTCACTAGATGCTAGATCTTCACTAGATGCTAGATCTTCACTAGACGCTAGATCTTCACTAGATGCTAGATCTTCACTAGACGCTACATCTTCACTAGAAGCTACATCTTCACTACACTAGACGCTAGATCTTCACTAGATGTTAGATCCTTACTTCATGCTATGTGTCTACTAGGTACTCATACAGGCAGGATATTTTTTTAAACTAACTCACACAGACCACATGTGTCGATCAGCTGTAGATCTTTGACACTCATTTCTGTCATTTCTTGTCATTTGTAGGTCAGTATGTGTTTGTGTTGTTATGCCAGGACACATCCATCCATCACCCACAACTCCATCCATTTATTGCCTGCACAGCCATCCATCTATCCATTCACCCATCCATTTAAAAGTCGCCAATCCATACATCTGTCCTCCTGCACATCCATCCACCCATGCATCCATACCTCCATGCATGCAGGCATCCATCCATTTACCTACCCATCTTTCCATCCATCCATCCATCCATCCATCCATCCATCCATCCATCCATCCATCCATCCATCCATCCATCCATCCATCCATCCATCCATCCATCCATCCATCCATCCATGTGTCTACACCATAGAATAATTACAATGTATCTATGGTAAATGGGTTATCATTCTTCACCAATATAATGTCACATGTCTACAGAAAAACCACGTCATTCTATTTTTTTATGTTCAAATAATATTATTTGTCTACAGAAGATGTTATTTTACATTAAAACTGTCGATATATTTGCAAAATTGGGCATCCCCATGCATGCTCAGTCCTTCAATGCAGCAGCCACTTCAAGATACCTCTACTGATTGTTCCAGTGAGGAGTTGGTTATAGTATCTCCTGTCTTTACCTCGAAGACAGCATGGACATGCTTCACCAAGCTTAACTCCTCAGTCATGCAGTCATGCTAGCATCAGAGATTCACTATCCCCTACAGAAAAACCGTGACCATCTGTATAATTGATATCTCCTTCTTTTTCCCTGTTCACCAGCTGTAAACTCCAGTGAAAAGTTCTGGGTGTTCATCCATCTCTAGACTTTAGTCTTCTTCCAGAACCTAATGTTGCATGTACATCCATTTTACAAATGTGGCTTATTTATATGCAGACTCTTGGTTCCTTGCCTTTTGGCAGATACAGTTCAACTTCGAAGGAAGCCCCCACTTAGTCTACTCATACGATGAGCTTGTTATACAGGGGTCTGTTCTTGTCTGTTCTTGTCTGTTCTTGTTTTCCCCATAATGGGACCCCGAAACCCACACAGGGAATATAACTGATATAATGTGATGTGTCCACAGACAATCACCTGATCATCTGTATATTGTCTCTGCAGGAGAAGAGTGACCACTACTGGCCCAGTGACACAGCACCCAGGTTCTATGGCAATGTCAAAGTGGTCATTCTCAGTGAAGCACACATGCCTGATTGGACCCTCACAGAAATGGTCGTCTCTGAGGTAAATAATTTTTCGGACCATTTTTCTCTCAAACTGAGATTTGAGTGACTGTTTGGTTTCTTGAGTTGCCATCTTAACATGCATTTCTTCTATATTACAACCAACATAACAGAATGTGAAAGGGATAATCTTCTTCCAGCACACGACATACATCCTCTTTTACCACTTTGGGTGTCAAGGGACGTATAAAGGCCTGCTTCATGCTCTTCTGGCTGTTGTGATCATAGACACATTGTGGTGCTGTAGAGTTTCTCTGACGTTATCATCTTGGTCTGCTTTTTGTGCTGCGTCCCTCACCTCTTTTGGTATATACCTTGTATGGTATAGCATCAGAAGGCATTCTCTCCAGGTGGGCAAACTATTTGATTTGCTGTCTTTCTATGTAATTTAGAATTGGTTCTGCGCCGACTTTATCTCTTATGACCTCATTCCTGATTTTATCTCTTCTGGTCACTCCTACAGTCTTTCTCAGACACCTTATTTCCATGGTTACTAATTTAAAGGGATAATATTACAAAAAGAAACATTGCAATTATTTAGCAATGGACATCTTAACACTATATATGACAGTTGTCTAAAATTTAACATTAACAAAAATAAACAAATTTGCCTGCCTCTAAACGTGAACATCAGACAGGACTGTTGCTCAAGACTAAACTGTAACATCAGACAAGACTGTTAGTCAGCTCTAAACTCTAGCATCAGACATGACCGTTAGTCAGCTCTAAACTCTAGCATCAGACATGACCGTTAGGCAGCTCTAAACTCTAGCATCAGACAAGACCATTAGTCAGCTCTAAACTCTAGCATCAGACAAGACTGTTAGTCAGCTCTAAACTCTAGCATCAGACATGACCGTTAGTCAGCTCTAAACTCTAGCATCAGACATGACCGTTAGGCAGCTCTAAACTCTAGCATCAGACATGACCGTTAGGCAGCTCTAAACTCTAGCATCAGACATGACCGTTAGGCAGCTCTAAACTCTAGCATCAGACATGACCGTTAGGCAGCTCTAAACTCTAGCATCAGACATGACCGTTAGGCAGCTCTAAACTCTAGCATCAGACATGACTGTTAGTCAGCTCTAAACTCTAGCATCAGACATGACCGTTAGGCAGCTCTAAACTCTAGCATCAGACATGACCCTTAGTCAGCTCTAAACTCTAGCATCAGACATGACCGTTAGCTCTAAACTCTAGCATCAGACATGACCGTTAGTCAGCTCTAAACTCTAGCATCAGACATGACCGTTAGCTCTAAACTCTAGCATCAGACATGACCGTTAGTCAGCTCTAAACTCTAGCATCAGACATGACCGTTAGTCAGCTCTAAACTCTAGCATCAGACATGACTGTTAGGCAGCTCTAAACTCTAGCATCAGACATGACCGTTAGTCAGCTCTAAACTCTAGCATCAGACATGACCGTTAGGCAGCTCTAAACTCTAGCATCAGACATGACCGTTAGTCAGCTCTAAACTCTAGCATCAGACATGACCGTTAGGCAGCTCTAAACTCTAGCATCAGACAAGACCGTTAGTCAGCTCTAATCTCTAGCATGAGACAAGACCGTTAGTCAGCTCTAATCTCTAACATCAGACAAGACTGTTAGTCAGTTCTAAACTGTAACTTCAGACAAGACTGTTGCTCTAGACTAAACTGTAACATCAGACAAGACAAGACCTATATTTTAACACCAATCAGCACTAGGTGGGTGATATTATTAACCTCATGCTGTCCACCTTTACTTTCAAGGACTTTACCTGCTACTCATTTAAGGTTGGGTCGACCTGGGAGCCAAGGTCATTTTGAAAAAAGTCTGAGCTCCATCACGATTAGAGAAATACAGAAGCTAAATGAATTGTTATCCCCAATCGCGCTGGACTTAAATACATCTTTGTTGAGATATGTAGACAAATGGGATTATACATTAATCCATCAATCACCACTCCACCAATATATGCTAATCTGCACTTACACATACCTATTATTCAAAGGGGGAAGATTCACGAATCATCAGACATTTTCATTACAAAGTCTGGCCAGACTTTGGAGTTCCTAGAAACCCGTCGACGCTGATACAGTGTGTTCGGATGGTGAGAGAGAATCTGATCAAGGGAGCAGGCCCAGTCATTGTTCATTGCAGGTATGGTTTTATGGACATGTAATTATTATGGTATATTACCAATTAACGCGGCATCCGTGGCTTAGGCGTTTTGAGTCTGACTTGTAATTCCAACGTACCGCGATCAAAACCCACTGCTGGCTGCTTGGATTTTTTAAAATAAAAATATAGGATGCTCTTCCCATATGCCTGATGCACCTAAGGGTGTGAAAAAAGGATCTGTACTTTACTATTACTTATTAGCAGAGTGTTCAGAGTGGCGGGTACTGCTTCAAAGGTCCCTGTTAATGCGTTTTTGATATTTTGTCCAGGGTATGCAGGTGTGTAGAA